GCCGTGCAGCATGTTGTGGGAGATGTGAATATGGTCCTTCATGCTTTCATCGTCCAGGCAGAGGCAGAAAAGGGCGCTGTCAACAACCCGTAAATCCTCTGCGTTTCCAGCAGCTATCAGCTTGTCCCTCAGCCCGGCCCACACGTCTCTGTTCTCACTGGTCAGGACCCCGAGAGGAAAGGCAGGCGCAGGTGTCGGATCGGACAAAATGTACTTCAGGTGGGACTGGATCTCTGCAGGCTTCACCAAATTCCCATCCCTGTCTACAATGTCAAACACATACATGTTGCCTTTCCTCATAACCAGCAAGTGTCGCCCTTTCTCATCAGTGAAGAGCTCGTCTCGCCCACGCTTGGGAATCCGAGTTGAGTTGAAGAGGCGAAAGTACTGAGACATGTCCAGGGGGTACGCATTCACCATGTAAGCCCCATACCAAGACAGGGAGGACGGGACCCAGCGGATGAACTTCTTGAAGCCGTCTGTGTCGCTCTTTGCCGGGTTGAGGTGGAAGACCTCTGGCTCAAGTATTCCAGCTCGCAGTGTTTTCATGAAGCGCACTGCTGAACACACCACATTGGTCGCCCGCACCAGCTGGTCATTGTACTCGGTCTTTGGGTCAGGATTGAAGGACATGAAGGGGTTGAAGTTCAGCACCACAGAGTCGCGTGCAGACAGATACATGTCAAACCATGGTCCTGGAAGAAAAGCGGTTATTCAGCCGGATTCAGCAGTGACTGTATGCATCTGAGAGGCTCAATTTCAGGTTGGTAATGGTCAGAAGGGCACATTCACCTGAGATGTAGCTTGTGTGCTTGTTGTTTTTGTCCTGAGCCACCAGTTCCTCATGCAGCTGTTTCCCCACACCATTCTGGAAATCCTGCGCGAGTTTCTCTGTTGTTCTAAGGACACACAATAAAGATTTTAGCAGGTAACATTTGAATAGTTGGTATTGATAATTAACTACCACAGTTGATTTTAAAGCATTTAAGAAAATTACATGAAAATATACACAGCAGGCCTGTATCTCAGCATTTGGTTCACTTCTGTGAAGAAGAAGAAATGTAAACTGTCTAATAGAACAAAGGCCAAGCATCAGGGACAAGAAAACACTGAACGTAGCCTATTAAATACTGAAAAAACATAATACAGACAGAATTGTATAAAAAAAAGCTCTGTAAACAGGAAATAATCTGATGAAAATTCATCCATTGTACAGTTTTTAATATGATGTATTATGTCAGTCAGGGGTTGATAGAAAAGGGGAAAAGGTTGGGAGCCACTGAACTAGCTCATAATGAAATAAAAGATTGTTTTCATTGTCAACCCTTACCTGAACTGCTCATCGTCCAACAGAGGCTTCTGGGCAGCTAAATACCTCCTGACAGTATCCTCCAGTTGAGGTACTGGTAGCCTAAAACAAATCAAAAAGCAATAATCAAAGAGACAGTTTAGCCTCTCAACAGTCCAGGAAACGTTAGACGCCAGACACCGTACATGTCACCGCCCCCTAGTGGTCATCGATCTCAAATCAATTGTGCACTTTCACCTACATTCATCAGAGCTTAGTAGGTCACCTTCTCTAACTTAGAACACCTTGCTGCACCCTCCTGCTATTCGCAGGGTACGTTCGATTCATATGAACCCGAAGTTATATTCAATTAAAACCATTATGTTCGTGTAAAGTGAGAAACTGTGCATGACCAATTTCACCTTCATCTCCTTACCTGGGTAAACTCTTCTGGTAATGCATCGACGGTACAACACTGAGGTGCAGATACTCAGCAGAGCCTCTGTTGCTGCTGTAGTTTCTCCTCTCGACGCCCACAGCTGCGGTCCTGAAGAGGATTCGGTTTCCAGCTTTCCTCAGAGAGGAGACGCATTGTGCTGAGAGCAGACTGGCCATGGTGCGAGCAGACCTGCTGGGGTTTCCTCGGGGTGAAGCTCGCCGGTTCTAGCTGATGGAAGAAAAGTAAAACCTAAAGTCACATCCGTGTCACAGCTGTCACCCTCGGTACATACGGTAGCTAGCTAACGTTAGCAACAACTAACAACCAGCTGGTTATGCTTCCACTAACGTTAGCTGACGGGTTTGTTTCCGAGTCAGTTTGACTCTTGTGGTTCGTTTAGCCAGCGAAAATATGTGCCTGGCATGAAGATGCACCCCCGACCTGTTGTAAAAAAAACAGTTAAAGGATAGGTTTCAGCAAAAACAAACAATTAACAACTGAATTGACAACAGGAAGTTTAACCGGCAAAACCTGTCACGTGACTTAAACGACTTCTTCCGTAGTTAGCCGAGCAGCGAGTACAGTCCACAGCAGATAATTATATATATATATATATATATATAATAATATGTCTTTACATCATGACATTACAGTATTATCTAGTTTTATACATCCTCACTTCACAGATCATTGTATAGAATTATTTGTAAGATGAAGAAAAGTAAACGTAAATAAACAAATAAATACAATACAATAAAATAAAATAGAGCCCAATCCATGAATCAGCCAGGCTGATATATTGGCCAATATTACCTTATGACTAATATATTAATATTATAAGAAGTAGTGTGGAGTATGGAAATGCCAAATATATGTTTGAGGTTATTTAGAAGCATTGTCACAATTACATAGATGGTCCACCAGAGAGCACTTATATGTAATTGACTATATATCATATTATTCATTACATATCTTATATTTCAAGAGATCCTTATCCAAAATAGGGGTTTATATTATGTGTTCATATTAAAACATTCAATACATGCATTTTTTTTATTACATAGGCTACTTATTATCAACTGACAAACTGTTATTTGATTTTTGAACATCTCAAATGTTCATGATAATAAAGAAACAACACAATTTTAAGCATTTCAAACTTTAGAGTCTAACCTTAGTGTAAGCATTACCATCATTATATATAGCACGTGTAAAGTCTAACATTAAAAAAGCACATTTACATCCTCAAACCTTACATTTGAGCACATCTGTTGGTGCACTGTGCAGAAAAAGTAAACTCTAGGTCCGCTTTCTGTGAACCATCCATTCCAACATGTTATGTGGTTTCCTGGCCAGCAGAGTGCAGTGTTTTCCTGATTGAATGCTGCTTAGGCCTTCAGTTTATCATTGTGCTCTGAGCTAAAACCCCACGCAGAAAAACAAGACCAGGCAGAATCTTATAACAGCCTGTCTTCCAATGGCCTGGCATTGGAAGCCTATCATTTGTAATGGATGACAGAGTGATCAGGCCAGCTCAGTCAGTTGGGTGCTTGGCCTGGAGCCCTCCCCCACTCACCAACCTCTGGCACTCACCCACCAGCCTCCCTGCTCTACAAAAGCATTGAGGGTGATAGTTCACTGCTTCCATTAGACTGATGAGATTTTCTGATGTTTGCTTCCGCTTATGCTGTGTTTATAAGATGCAGTGTCATCTGCTGACCTGCCCTCTTTGCATAGCCCCCAGTATATATCCAACAGCATTCTGCTGCTTTAAATGGTCTTCTATCTGGCTGTCTGATTGTATGATATCCAGCAGTTACTCCCAACAATGCACATGTCACTATGTAACGTTAAACTAGTACTGAGTGGCTGAATGCACATGTTGACATGTGTGCATATGTCGTTCTCTAACACCAACATATTTCTCAGTGAGTACATATCACTTTTGAATGAAAGGTACAGCAGCCGAGACTTTGGCAAGACATTCAGTCTGTGTGTGTGTTTCAAATAGAATGACACCTCTAAGGCAACCAAATCAATCTTCTTCTCACAGTTGTAGCTGACAATGATGATTCTCCTCCGCTCCCTGGTAAAACAGGCTTTTATTCGGCATCATTCATAATGATTCTACAGAACATAATAGGAACATTGTGGTAATAATTGATGTGATAAGACAGGCCTGCATCAAACCTGCTCAAATGATGGATAAAAACCCTATATTACAGCACTCTCTAAAAGGTAGAAAAAACAGTACCTTTAAATATCTTTGGACAGGGCCTAGCTATACCATATAGCAGTGGGTAAAATAGCATATATACTAGAGTGAATAGGAAGCATTTTATGCTTAATTTCCACAAAAAGAATTCACCTGTTTGGCAGTGAAATGAGAAAAGACATTAAATCAGCAACTCTCCTGCCTCTTTAAGGACAATAACAGTGTGTTTGCAGGTTTAAGCTCCTTCAGTACAATTGTTGAATGTATGCTTTTTAGATGAATTTATTCTACAGATACAGACTAATGGTTTCATTTCATTTCTGCACAGTATGAAAATCAGACTCTTAAAACTTACTTCGAGTACAGTATGTAATGCCTCACAGTCAACATCAGGTCGAAGTTATTATTTATCGGGGTTACATTATAATTGTATGGTAATGCAGTTTAAAGCTGCAGCAGGTAACTTTTATAAAATATTTTTGTCATATTTGTTCAGATTTTCACAATAACCTGACTGTAGTACAGATAATCTGTGAGTTCCTCTGGTTCCTCTGGTTCCTCTGGTTCCTCCTAGTGCTCCTAATCATAAAAATCTACTGGGCCTGAACAAGAACAACCAATCAGAGCTGAAAAAGATAGTTGATTGTTGAGTCTCATTCCCTATTTAACTATTTAAAAACGATTTTACAAAAATTAAAAATAAAAATACAGCACTGTAGTGTTGGTGTTTACCAGGTTTACTCATTGATTTTACAGATACCATACAGAGATAAATGGAAACCTATATATATATATATATATATATATATATATGTATATATATATATTTGTTTTTTGTTTTTTTTGTTTGTTGTTGTTTTAAACATAGAAAACCATAGTAATATTGATTTTTGTGGTAATGATATAGTAACTCTTTACAAATATACATATACAGTTATATATATATATAGTGTTTTTGTGAATTGTGTAATAAATGTGAGTGGTAGTGAATGGGCTATAACAAACAAAACGACCCTTTAAAAGGAGAACTTGGAGTTTCCTTACTAGTGCTAATAGTGAGTATTTTTGTCCACTCTCGGCTATCTGACATCGACACGTCGAGTCTGAAGATCCGGGAAGAAACCAGGAAGTGCAGTTAGCTAACATCAGGCGAAGCTCCAGCTGAATCAGTGCGTCTGTTTGTTCTGTTCACTGAACGGTAACGGGAACGGGAACGGTACTGCACAATGCCTCAAATCCAGACACCGAGGTAAGAATACTAAGCACTGTACGGTAGAGTGGTGACACGTTAGCTAGTGAAGTGACATGTTTCTGAATAAGTCATTGAGGTCACCGTCGGAGCTCCCGGTTAACGTTTCCAGCTCGTTAGCAGCGAGGTGTCACACAAACAGCTACCTTACGGTAACGTACGTTGAAGCCGCTTCACTCGAGCCTCACACGGCTTCAGCCAGCGCTCACCCTCCCTCGGTTAGCTCTCAATGAGCACTCAGCTGGTTATGTATGTTTAACTGTTTCTGTTAAACTGTTGATAGTACAGTCTTGGAAATGAAGTGCTATGCTCACCAGCGGGTTGTATCGGTGTTGTGCCACTGTGTTGTGCTTAAAGATGGAGACGTCCTGGATGTAGCTGGAAGTCATTGTTCTGATGTTCACAAAGAGGCAGTGAAGCTGTTAAATGTGGAGGCCACAGTGGTGATGATCCACAGTGGTGATGATGATCCACAGTGGTGATGATCCACAGTGGTGATGATGATCCACAGTGGTGGTGATGATCCACAGTGGTGATGATCCACAGTGGTGATGATGATCCACAGTGGTGATGATGATCCACAGTGTGTTTGTGAAAGTGGTGATGGAGGTGGAGGCTTTAGTGGCTGGTATTGATGTTCTATTATTGAACTGATGAGAGCGGACACACACTGGTGAGATCTGTGCAAAAGAGCTGTGTACTTTTCTGCGCTCTCAACACTTTCTTTTATCACTGACCTTTCTTGTTCTCATGCCTTCGCCATCTCAAGGATCCAAGCCGTGCACACCAGTGCGAGTGATGGATTGGAGGGGTTCAAGGCACATGCTGTGTTCCAGGAAATCAACAAGAAGCTTCAGGAGGTGATTACATGACTCACAATAGGGGACAGGGTTGCTTATTTCAGACCTGTGACGTTTTACTCTCAGTTTTTACTTTCTTTCTTTCTTCTGCATTCTCTGAGCCTTCTATTCCAGTGGTTCTTTAAAAATCCAGCTCATATACAGTGTTTCTGCGTCTGTGCCATACCGCTATTTGAGCCTCACTTTTGGATCATTTCATAGCCCAGAATTCATTTCAAGCTTATGTTGACTCATTTAGACTAATGGTTTCCCCCAAAACTAAAGTGTTTTTTCAAGCAGTTACCTTTTATGTGACCTCAATCATACCAGATTCCTCTCAAGCTCGCCACCAGTGCTGTCTATGTAATGACTGGGATTTGTCATCAATGAGAAAATGGCAACAGGAGAGACGTGGTTTAGTATAATATCACAGGCGACTGATCAGACAAACAGATTTAAAATTTTGTATGCAGAGCTTATCTTTAGGAAGAGAGTCTGTTGTCCCACTTTTGTATTCCCATATTAGTTCAGTATTGAGAGGGAATTGGGTTTTTCTGTTCAGATGCCAGTTTTTTTTAGGCAGATTTAGGGTCATATTCCTTGCCTTTTGTTATTTGATGTATTTTCAGCTGTAGAGTGATCTCCGTAAACACTTGTCAATGTAGCCTGAGGAAGAGCGTTTTAAAGGTGGGGTGGGTAGTTGGCTCTCACTCTTATAAAGGCTGGAGACCCCTGGTTTACACTGTATGTAAAATCTCTGTGTCCTTTGAACAGGAAGGGGAGCAGTTTGTGAAAAAGATCGGGGGAGTGTTTGCCTTCAAAGTCAAGGATGGCCCAAATGGACAGGAGGCAACATGGTTTGTGGATGTGAAGAATGGCAGTGGCTGTGTTCACAATGACACGGGTAAGACTGCTGTATACAGCCATGTAAATGGTAAATGGTAAATGGACCTGTACTTGTATAGCGCCTTTCTAGGCGCCTTTCTAGTCTTCCGACTCAAAGCGCTTTTACACTACGTGCCACATTCACCCTTTCACACACATTCACTCAGTGATGGCAAAGTCCATCGAACAGAAACTAACATTCATACACATTCACACACCGATGCTCGGCATCGGGAGCAATTCGGGGTTCAGTATCTTGCTCAAGGATACTTCGACATGTGGCACCAGGAGCCGGGGTTTGAACCCACAACCTTTTGATTAAGGAACGACCCGCTCTGCCTCTAAGTCACAGTCGCCCATATACAGTGTATACAGTGCTATATAGACAGTGGAAACCTATAGTGACATGTAATCATGTTAATATTCAACTATGGTTGAAAATGCAGTTTAAAGTTCAAGGACTGCACACACTGCATTTCTGCCTCATCTGTGTGTGACGTAGTTAGGTCATTTTTCTTTGCCTTAGTACCTTCAAATACCTGTAAGTCACTGAATAAATGGAGTTGTTTGTTCCTGTTTCTGAAATAAGCTCAGCTCCTGTATCTCTGCCCTGCAGCTAAGAAAGCAGATTGCACAATTTCCATGTCGGATACAGACTTGTTGGCCTTGATGACGGGGAAGATGAACCCACAGACTGTGAGTATTCGATCTATTGATAGTGACAGTGATTCTGTATCAGAGAATCTTTCCTTTTTTCTCCAGTCAAAAGTCTGTGGGAGTATTTGAGTTAGGCCTGTCTTACCCTCAGTGTCTGCTGCCATTCTAGCTAGAGTGCCAGTGTCCTGTGATTGCACAGCCTGAATGTCTTGCTTGCAGCTCTTTACTTCTCTCTGTTATCTTTACACACCACATCTGTTACTGCCAGAGCAGCTTGTGCATGTACAATATTGATGCATTTTGTGTTTTACTCACTTTGCCTTTAAGGATAGGTTTGCTGCATTGGAACAGTTTCTGGTTGCTGTAATTGTTCCTCCTCTCCTTACTCAGAGCCACCCAAAAGAGGGGAAAAAGGGCCCCTAGTTTACAAAGTGCTTTGACAGACAAGCAAGAATAATAGCTGTGATACACCCAATATAATTAAACATAAAAGTAATAAGTATCAAAATACAACAATAAGAGCAGAATAAAAGCCATGAAAATAGAAAATCAAATTAAAAAATTAAAAAAATTAAAATAGGTATAACAAAGTAAAAAGACGACATAATGTCAAGCCAAGGCAAGTCAGTAAAAAGGAGTTTCAGTAAGTGATTTTAGTCAGTGTGTGTGTGTGTGTGTGTGTGTGTGTGTGTGTGTGTGTGTGTGTGTGTGTGTGTGTGTGTGTGTGTGTGTGTGTGTGTGTGTGTGTTTCGCTGTTCATCCGATCAACTTCACACTTGTTAGTGTATTTCTGGGGACCCAAGGAAGTGTGGTGTTAAATTTATAATCTCTGAATAAGTAAGCAAACTGTGTGCTGTGCCGCAGCGGGGGCAGCACGGAGCGTCCCTCCTCTCCCGCCGGCTGCTGATAGCACTGTCAGCTGAAGAATCAGAACAATTAGGAGACGTAGCCGCTGGTAGCCTCGTTGCGCAGTGTGCCGTTTCCATCAGAATCATTCTCTGTTTTCAACCCTCTCACACGTGTTTAGGTCGTCATCACAGTTATGTATTTAGATCTTTCATTGCTGTTTAAGTGTTGGCTATTATAGGCCTATGATTGTTCTAAATGGACGAAATCCTGCAATATTTACGTCTTATGTCTTTTTTTAGGTACTTTCCTTACATAGGGAGCTACATTATGCAATCACAGTGTTGTTAAAAAGCACTTTTTAACAGAATATTTGACCCTCCTCTTGCTCATCTAGAAGAGGGTTTTAGTACCAACCTACAAAAGCTTCTGGTCCTATTTTAACTTATGTGGTCAAACAGTCATTCACTGCAGTTGAAAGATGCCAAGGCTGCCACCAAAAAGAACTATCATTTAGATTTTTTTCAAACTAAAATTACCTTTTTAGAATGCAGCTAGTATAAACTCTTAACAGTGAAATTATTAAGCACAAACAAATAATATTAGAAGCAGTTCATATTTTACGTACTTACTTTACTTGTACAGAACACTGCCAATATTTAAAGAGCAGGGCTGCTGATGGCCGTTATATAATGCCGATATCAAAACAAAGAAAAGTCCCGCATAATTCTGTTCTGTCCTGTAGGAAACTCACACATATATTTACAACAGGATGTATGAGAGTTACAGTACAGGGCTCAAAACCAAGGGGGGGCTACCATCGCCTGTTAGATGTTACATTGATTGTTTAACGGCCTCGTGAGCACAGACATAGGCTGGTGTTGATTATCTCAAAATGCTAAATAATTGGCCCGATTAATCAGCCGAATACTTATCACCACATGATGCTATACATTTAAACGTGCACTTTTTCAGCTCTAATAATCCCACAGTTGTTTATATGCTATTCAGTTCTGCTAGCTACAGTACTTTAGCTCAACAGGTAGCAATGGCTTCTCTCTCTCTCAGTCAATTAAATATGTTTCCTTTTGTAGTTTTAAATATATAGTCGAATTTAGAATACTTGTTGAGAGCCGTAGTGTTGGGCAGGTAGCCAGAGATTGATTAGACTAAAATATATAAAGATAAAGGTAAAGGTAAACTTGCACTCATACAGATACAGCTCTGTGTGTGGCTCGTATCTGATTATCATTTTTAAACTGAAATATTTGGCATTCAATGTTAAATATAATGTACAGTCATATAATATATTTGAATTGTAAGCTGAAAATGCAAAAAGTATGATTACACAGACTTGTCATAAGGATTGACCCTCATATAGAAAGTGTAAACTGAAAACCAGTGTTTGAATGTGTGAGTTTGAACTCACATTCTCTGACACAAATGGAAAATTAAGTCCGCAGTTTCACTGCCATGATGGATAAAACCCAGCTTCAGAAGGCTCATGAAGATTTTGAGAAGTGCACGGCCAGACTCCAGTCCAGTGTTGTGGATGAGGAAGCTGAACAAGAGCAGCACGAGAAGGTCTGGACTTTGCAAAAGGGCACCATAGAACTCGGTGTGAAACTGCAGCGGGAACAAGTGACTTTGATGAGGAAGGCTATCAAGCCACTGAAGATTGACACTGACAGGCAACATGTTCACCATGACACAACCTAAACCACAGCCTGTTGTTGGTTCTTGGGAGCAGCTTGGAGCTTAACAGCACTTCCAGGTTTTTGGTCAGCAGTGGGTAAAGAGTAAACAAACACAACTCACATTTGGAATGTTTTAACCCACCATCCCATGGTCAGAACAGCACATTCACGAGGTGGCTTGTTAATGACGTCGCCGATCAGAAACAAAACTGTTGATTTGCCTGCTTATAAAACATCCACCAGATAATGCCTCTCTCTCTGTTTCTCTGCAAAATATTAAAATGAGCCCTTGACTGTACCCTGACACTACCGGTGGCACACCCAAGTAAATCTGTTTGTGTCAAAGACTGAATAACTTCATCATGGAATAAAATACATGCTTCAGCTGATCGGTTCTTCTGATCAGCATTTACAGAGATTCAGAGCTGCAGGTCAGACAAGATCAACAGGACATGAAATGGGCAAAACACAGTCAGGGGTGAACAATGAAGCAGCAGCAGCCCAGAAGAAAGCAGAGGAGCAGCTACAGGTCCATCTGAAACTGTGGCAGGACGAGAGGACCACTCACCAGAAAGCCATTGAAAGGCTCCAGAAAATGATGAAGGAGAAGCAGATGGAGTGGTCTGAGAGGGAGAGCAACATGGAGAAAAAGCCAAAAAAGAAGAAACGCTGGCTGGCCAGGCTCTTCACATACTCCAAATGATTCCAAATCAGCTCCTCCTCTTTAGCGGAGGGGGAACTTGCCTTTAAAATCTTTTTACTGACTTTACTGTTGATATTGTAAATTACAAGTTAAATCATATAGCCATTCCTGTATTGTTGATTCATTTCTGTTGAACATGTTCACTATTGTTAAACCATCATTTTTACCCATGACTGCAACATATTGGGCTGCATTTATGACCAAGGTTGTTTAATGAAATTCATTCTGAGTTTATCAAAGCTAGTGTATATCTTCCTAAGTTTTTAGTTCCCTCTGTGTTACTCTGGACAGTTGTTTTCTTGCTGAGCTGCAGTGGAAGGGGCGTAACGTAACAAGGAAGAAATGCACAAAAGAGATTAAGTTTGGAAGATAATGTACACGTAAACTGTTGTAGGAGTTGAGTATAGTGTGCTGGACTGAACCGGAGGAGGGAATAGTATATTTCTTATGATTGTCGGAAAGATAAGAAAAAGCAGGATCTACAAGCGCACGACAGATTGAAATACAGATTTATGATATTTTTACACTGAAAGAAGACTCTGGACACTCTCACCATCTCAATTCTCAGAACAATTATGGAGACCAGAAATAGCTTCAACCTTCATGTGGGCATTTGAGTGTGTTTTAGGACATAGAAAATGTGAACCTATCATTTAAAGGCATCTAGCAGTGTAATTGCAGATCTAGGGCTACTGTAGAAACATGGCAGTTCAACATGGCTGACTCCATGGAGAGGGGTGGGCTGGTGGTGGTGGTGTGGGGGAGTTGCTGGGTTACACTGGTGCATTTAGGCCCTCATTCATCAACATTTCGTACTGATTAATCACTTAAAGATTTCCTGTATGCTTTCATCAAATAATAAAAGGTATATTATTTTTTATTTTTTATATATGGAATGTTGTTGACATTTTGATGATGTCATTAGTGTTTTACATTTTCTGTTTTTTTTTTTCTGTTTTATGTTCCATACCTATTATGTGTGGTCATAGTTGAGGACAAATATCTAACACTGAGGGAAAAAAAAATCTAGTGCACTGTAAATTAATTATTTTGATTACTGTATAAAAATTTCTGTATACTATAGTTTATTGCACGGCATCATTATAGTTAAGTTTTTGACATTGCGATAGGAAGTCAAGTTTCTGTAAATTAAGACAGTAGTACATGAGACAGATAATCATAATCGTAGTGGAATTTGCAAGAATGCACCGGCCTGAACAATCACAACCAATCAGAGCGGAGAAAGCTAGAAAGACACTTTGGATTTGACAGCTGAAGATAGACAGGAAAGGTGGGTAGAGAGAGAGGGGATGACACGCAGTAAAGGGCTCTAACCCATGGCCGCTGCAGCAAGGATCTAGCTCTTCACATGGGGCTCTAGCTCCACCTCTCTGAGAATGTCACTCAACAATCAACTGTCTTTCTCGGCTCTGATTCGTTCTTTTCGCCCATTTGATGCTTGCATATGCCATTAGGAACACTAGAATGAATCAGAGGGACCTGGTTATTTCACAGATTATCTGTCTCATGTACTACTGTCAGGGTATAGTGAAAGGTTCAGTGAATATGACAAAACATATTTTTTATAAAAATTACTTTAAAATTCATATGTATATACAGTGTGACTTTAAAACCATGTATAAGGCCTAGGCCTTTACTAACATACCTGCTATTGTTCTTTCTTGTGTTTTTACACCACCGTTCAAAAGTTTGGGGTCACCCAGACAATTTCATGTTTTCCATGAAAACTCACACTTTTAGTCATCAAATGAGTTGCAAAATGAATAGAAAATATAGTCAAGACATTGACGAGGTTAGAAATAATGATTTTTATTTGAAATAATAATTTGAAGAAATTTCGCCCCACGCTTCCTGAAGCACCTCCCACAAGTTGGGTTGGCTTGATGGGCACTTCTTACGCACCATACGGTCAAGCTGCTCCCACAACAGCTCAATAGGGTTGAGATCTGGTGACTGCGCTGGCCACTCTTCTTCCCTAAATAGTTCTTGCATAGTTTGGAGGTGTGCTTTGGGTCATTGTCCTGTTGTAGGAGGAAATTGGCTCCAATCAAGCGCTGTCCACAGGGTATGGCATAGTGTTGCAAAATGGAGTGATAGCCTTCCTTATTCAAAATCCCTTTTACCTTGTACAAATCTCCCACTGTACCAGCACCAAAGCAGCCCCAGACCATCACATTACCTCCACCATGCTTGACAGATGGCGTCAGGCACTCCTTCAGCATCTGTTCACTTGTTCTGCGTCTCACAAATGTTCTTCTGTGTGATCCAAACACCTCAAACTTAGATTTGTCTGTCCATAACACTTTTTTCCAATCTTCCTCTGTCCAATGTCTGTGTTCTTTTGCCCATCTTAATCTTTTCCTTTTATTGGCCAGTCTCAGATATGGCTTTTTCTTTGCCACTCTGCCTAGAAGGCCAGCATCCCGGAGTCGCCTCTTCACTGTGGACGTTGAGACTGGCATTTTGTGGGTACCATTTAATGAAGCTGCCAGTTGAGGACCTGTGAGGCGTCTATTTCTCAAACTAGAGACTCTAATGTACTTGTCCTCTTGCTTAGTTGTGCACCGGGGCCTCCCACTTCTCTTTCTATTCTGGTTAGAGCCCGTTTGTGCTGTTCTCTGAAGGGAGTAGTACACACCGTTGTAGGAAACCTTCAGTGTCTTGGCAATTTCTCGCATGGAATAGCCTTCATTTCTCAGAACAAGAATAGACTGTCGAGTTTTGAGAGTATACTCGAACCCACAAATGCTGATGCTCCAGATACTCAACAAGCTCAAAGGAAGGCCAGTTTTATAACTTCTCTAATCAGCACAACAGTTTTCAGCTGTGCTAACATAATTGCAGAAGGGTTTTGTAATCATCAATTAGCCTTTTAACACGATTAGCTAACACAATGTACCATTAGAACACAGGAGTGATGGTTGCTGGAAATGGGCCTCTGTACACCTATGTAGATATTCCATTAAAAATCAGCCGTTTCCAGCTAGAATAGTCATTTACCACATTAACAATGTCTAGACTGTATTTCTGATTAATTTAATGTTATCTTCATTGAAAAAAACAATGCTTTTCTTTCAAAAATAAGGACATTTCTAAGTGACCCCAAACTTTTGAACGGTAGTGTATATGGCTTAAGTATAACATTAGCGTACTGAGTTGTGTAGTGGCATGTGTATTTCACCCTGGCTCAGCCTGTGTGCCCTGTCCAAAGCTTCTCCTAAAATGTTTTCCTTGCCAATTGGACGTGGTGCTAACTGGATATTTTTGTTAGCGCCTGGGTGAAACTAAGAGGAAACCCTACACTGCCTCATTATTTGCTGATTGTGCCAATTCACCGCCCTCAGACAAGACGCCATAAAGTCGCTGTGTAGGGTGAAAACATAACGCAGTTTTCCTGTATGCACTGAAACAGGAGAGAGACATAACAATTAAGTGAGGGAGATTTATTTCATGCCTGACTTTGGAACACAAAATGTGATCTGTGTGTAAAAAAGGAATTGTTGTTTTGGACACTAGCCATTTCTTTAGAGATGAGTATCAAATATGTAGGGCGAGGGTCAATATAATTTTAATTGGAGTGATAAACTTATATCAAATATTTATTTTGCAGTAATTGCACAATTCTTCTGTGAGGAACTAAAATAAAATGTTTTTATTTTTAGTCTTCATATATCTGGTCAAATTTGTCAAGCATGAGGAGGCATTGGTGCATATGTTTATTAAGACGTGATGTCACTCTGTCTGTATTGTAATACCTATACTTTCTAATTATACTATACTATACTGACTAATACCCCTCCCGTCATATTTTAATTTTAAAAAAGAAAACTGATACTGAAACTAATAAAACTTACACTAAAACTAAACATTTTTAAACAATAATAACTAAAACAAGCAAACCCACTGTTGAAACCAACTGAACCTAAACTGAATTGAAACCAAAAATAAAAAACATGATATACAAGGAAAATATTTATATATTATATATAAAACTAATGAAAAATACTGAAGTATAATAACCTCAACATAAAAATGAGGTTATGGACAAAAGCAGCAAACGAGACCCACCAAGGTCATTTGTACCGCCACCAGCCCATGGCCATTAACAGTGAGGACACAGATGAGGAATCCCCAGAAAATTGTCACTGTGCTGTGAAGGATAGCTGTGCATGCTCCAAGAACAAAGTCAGGAGTTTTTCCGCTGCTTTATCCCCCATCATTGAAAAATTTGGACCGGTTGACTTTTTGCATGATGTTTTTAATACAAAGGCAAAACTGATCATTTCAGTCCTTCCATTTTTGTCCTAAACCCACACGAGAAAGCTTTTATTCTCCTTCTGAGAACTGAGCGAGTATTCTCAGAATCCCTGCTCACTCAAAGGGGGCAAATTACTACCTCCTTGTCTCATTTTACCTATTAATTTCTGTTTTGTTTGGTTTTTTTTTGCACTCCAGTCAGCAAACATTCATTTCTCCAACTCTACCCCCTCTGTGTCTGTGTGCCATGCAGTTTCCTGACATTTATAAGCTGTTGTTGCCAATGCCCCACTTTCCCTGGGATGAGTTAATCTCTCACGGTAACTCTTAAAACCAGCAGCATGTAGTTCTCTCCGACACATGCCGGACCCGTACTTCAGATTCAGAACTGTCTGGATGACGTTTTTTTTCACCCTTTCTGATTCACAGGCATTTTTCCAGGGCAAGCTGAAGATCACAGGAAACATGGGACTGGCCATGAAGCTCCAAAGCCTGCAGCTGCAGCCGGGCAAAGCCAAGCTGTAGACGAGACGTCGAGCCAGCTGTAACTACACCTCTGAACACTGAATAGAGTTAACCACGATGAATTTAACAGCAAGTCCGGTTTGAGATAAATGTTAAAGGTCTGTGAACCTACTCATCACCGGACTGAACCACCTCCTAATGAACTCACTGACCAAGCAGGAGATTAGTCAGCAGCCCTGCCAATATAATTGGAGAATAAGAATAAATGGACAGATAATTAATTCTCTAATTAAGTCCCTCTCATGATAATGCTGGCAGTACACTGGAGTAGAGACAGGTGCTCCCTACTAATTCAGTTTTCTGTCCAGTTTTCAGTAACTTTCCTGTTGCTAATGAAATTTTTTTTGAGTGTATTACGTCTGGAAATGTTTTTGAGTAGAGCAGATTGATGTCATTTTCCACAATCATGGACACAACAGTTTAAGTGCCTCCTCGTCTCAGACTCGCAAGGTTTTTAGCCAGCAGTACAGAAATGTTTTTCACTGTGGCCACCCAATGTTTTAATGGAGGGGGTTGTCATTTTCTGCAGTGCTATCATTACTGTATTAAGATTTCTACTTAATAAATTTGTCTTTGCTGCACCGTCCATCGGGTGGTCTTGGTCTTTTTTTCTTAAGCACTAATTACATTTTGCACACACCCATGAGTAATTCCACTGACTTAATGTTTCTACAACTGTTTATCTGAGAAATGGCACATAAAACTAGCCATAACATGCTTAAAAAAAATTTAAGATGACTGTTATGATGAAATAGTTTATGGATGTTAAAATGGAAATGTTAGCCAGATGTCCTAACATAAGCTTCAGTTGTTAATTCAGTGTGAAGGGTAGACGTTAAACTCACATGATGACACTCCTGGCTCCACAAGCTATTAACAAATGGCTCCTCCTGCAAAATTCAGGGGCTCTGTTTGAGGTTATATTACTGTGACCTTCCACAATAATGGCCCTCTGTTCAGACGCAACAGTACTTGGATGTCAGTGTCGCTGTCTGGGCTTGCCTATGTTCCCCCTTTAGAGGACTTTGCACTTTTCCAGCACTGCAGCGACCTGGTTCCAGACTGCCACGCTGTAGTTTTTCCTTTGTAAATGGAGGAGCGTGGCTGAAAGACAAATCTGTTAACTAGCTCTGACCCAGATTCCACTGCAGCTTTGGCTCTGCTCTTGTAGTTCTCTGGGTCTTACTATGTTGTCGCAGTGGGGTTATTTCATTGGTCACCAATGACTGGTATTATGTATGTAAGAGATTTCATAGGTTTAACATCTTATGCATTATGCTTAGCATCAGATGTTATTCAAAACATGCTTACTGTGAAATTCATATATAGTGAATTTAAAAACGGCTGAAAGGAATATATTTTTTTCTTAATTATTACTTTTTTTCTCAAAAATTAGTACTTAAAGGGGAGAGCCAACAATTTCCACTTAAAGGATTAGCATATGGGATTTAGTGGCATCTACCTGTGTAGCTGATTGAAATGCCCTCATCTCACCCTCTGGTTCCAAGCGTTTAGGAGAAACTATGGTGACTGTGAAAAAAAGGCGAAAGGCCCTGTCTAGAGCCAGTGTTTGGTTTGTCCCTTCTGGGCTACTGTAAAAAAAATGCCATTTCCACATGGTGGGCTTTATGGAAGTTGACCAGTGACGTCTGTAGATAAAAAGAGCTCATTCTGAGGTAACAAATGCATAATGATTCTTATATTCAGGTGATTATACACTAATGAAAACATAGCTATGAATATTCTAATTATATTTCTGCCAATAGATCCTCCTTAATGTTACACACTAGACATTTAAATGTTCACTGTGTGGTATTTAGTGGCATTTGTAAGCAGTTATTGCTGATAGCAACCCCCTCGCATCATTACAAGCACAAAGGACAAACTACAGTGGCTGCAAAAAACACAGATGGCCCTATCTAGAGCCAGTGTTTGGTTTGTGTCATCAGGGTTATATTGTCTTTCATATTATAACACAGGTGTGGGTGTTAACCAGAAAGGGAGGGTATGGCAAAAGATGCTGTTACAATCAGTTGCATTATGGGAAATGTAGGATCTAGTGTTTTTTGGAGCTTGATGCCTAAACAGGACTAAAAGTCAGGATTTCTTGGTCACCTTTGACCATCCCTTTTCAAATGTTTTATTTGTAAGTCTTGCAATAAGGAATCTGCGGAGTGCCCCTTTAAGATGGAAAGTAGCATTTAATGTGCTGTAGTACTCATGCATAAAGGCCTTAAATTATCTTCCATGATGTCTTTACTTGCTCAGTTGTCAGCATGACCTCGACCCGCATAAAATGTTTGCTACTTTCCACTAGTTATGAAGTGATTCAGCCTGTGTACAGCTCATTACTGTGCTGGGAAATGATGATCTGACGTGTTGTATACTCCCAAAAACTCGAAGAAGAGGTTTGTTTGGAACGAGCAGAAGATGAGCTGGGTAGTTTGGAGCAGCGATCACCACCAAATAAACATCTCTCCATAAATGCAACACAGCAGGGAAAAACAGGCTCTCCCAGCTTATGATATATGAGACAGACCTACAGAGTGCGTGCATGTAATAAAAGTCACACTTTATTGGACACTTTTTACATTACAAGCACACTCTGGGTGGAACATGAAGTCTTGTTTCGTGGTTCACTTAAGACAAGGGAGCTGCCCTTTAAAGAGCAGCGCTCAATGGAAAATAGTTTGTTCAAGTAAAAGATGAAAAGTATTAGTTTATAAAAATGCAGACAGCTGTGTGGAAAGAAGGCAGCCAATATCCCAGCTGTAACTGATAGAAACTGTAAACAATACATTTCCATGCTGGGGCTGTTTGAGTCTGTGGCCATGCTTTAACAGCAGGGGCAGTAGTGCAGGTATGTGCTCGAGAGAGATCAGAGGTCACATGATTCCGTCCTGGTCTGAGCAATGCCCTGGAGAATGACATGGAACATAAGAACCTGTAACCTGTTCAAAGTTGTTGTAAAATGAATGTGCTGGAAGGACCATTGTTTTGAGAAAGCTGTCCGAACATGTTCCACTAAAACAGTGGAAAAACATGTAGCAGTGACCGTAGCTCCTCTGAGGGGAAAACAGCCTGCCAAAAAATATGATGAGTAATAACGAGAGAATGGATATGGAGTGTGTTTTCTCCCCATTTCATGATTCAAGGCTATCAGGCGAGGTGTGTCTCTCTTCCAGCCTGAAAACAGCAGCTTAGCAGCCATATGATTAGTTATTATCAAGGGACCCAGCATCTTCCTCCCCAGTCCAAACATTCATCACTGCCATCATTCTTGTCTGCACTGGTTGCAGTTCCAGCACAAATAGCTTTAAGAGGGAGGTTTATGTTCACAAAAAAATACTAGAGGCCACTTCTAAAAGGTTCACTGAGATTGTTCAGTACTGAGTGCAGATACATTTGATAAACACCTTCAAATAAAAAAAAACTAGACAGATAACCATAGGAATAACTAGTGAAGGGACAAACTGTGTAGATAGTGATCACAGTGAATTACTTCGTATTTGTACACTGTGTGATATTAAGTCTCTAAAAGTGAGCATCCAGAGGCCTCTATTATATAAATATATTGCTTTTTACTTATCTCAGCTGTAGCAAATGAATGGATTCCTGGAAACATGAGAACTATAAACAGTTAAATACCAGCTGCTTTCTAGGAATATATTATTAAAACATACAAGAATGTAGACTCTAGGACCTACATCTAGTTACTTTTTTTCTCAAAAATTAGTACTTAAAGGGGAGAACCACCAATTTCCACTTAAAGGATTAGCATATGGGATTTAGTGGTTTCTACCTGTGTAGCTGATTGAAATGCCCTCGTCTCACCCTCTGGTTCCAAGCGTTTAGGAGAAACTATGGTGACTGTGAATAAAAGGCGAAAGGCCCTGTCTCGAGCCAGTCTGTATGTAGACTCTAGGACCTACATCTAGTTACACTGGCTGTATAAATTGTGTAACAGATTTATAATACCTTCATTTTAAGCCTTTTTAGGCTTATTATTTTACCCATACTAAATGCCTTAAAATAGGCTAGACCCTCTGCTATCTGCCTTCGGAAGATCTTCACAATAAGAGGGGACAATGCAGTATCTACAACAAAAGTGTGTTCTTTCAGCTTTAACTGGTTTGTTTGTTGGGGTTCTCTTGATTAGATTTATTTCATTTTTTCATTTTCATCATTTACAGTTAACGTCTAGGGAAGAATCAATCAGTAAGTAGTTAGCTAAGGCTAACAGTGGCTGGGTGACTAGTTAGCTTTCACTCGAAATAGTTCTCTTGCTTTATTGTTAGCTGTGCAGTTGATTGTGGGAGAGTAAGTGAGTAGAACCTTACAGGCGGTTTTCATGTAAATTAAAGGCTTAGACAAAAAAGGTTTATTCGCAGAGACTGAGCTGAGAAGATTGATATCGCTTTCATGTCTGTCCAGTAACGTCAAGTATTACAGCCAGCGGCTGGTTAGCTTAGCTTAAATTAAAGACTGGAATCAGGGGAAAACAGCATGCTGGTGACACCGTGAGGTTGCCCCCCCCCCCGTAAAACCACAATCTGCTGGGTACAGAATTAAATAAAAACATATAGCGTATTAATACTTAAGATTTAGAGGTTATAGTAGGCCAAATTTGTTAACTTTCAACAGAGCCAGACTATCTGTTCCTGCCTGTTTCCAGGCTTAGTGCTAAGATAAGCTAACCGTCTCCAGACTGGCTTAATTTTTTGTGTATGTTCATAAAAGTGGTATCGATCTCATTATCTAACTTTCTGCCATGGTACAGACATCAAAAAGTCAGATTACGTCAGTTCCCTTTCCTTGTAGTCAATGGGTTCTCTGAATTTGTTTTTGGTTAGATGCCCAATATAAGGTCTGTGGTTAACATAACCATTTATCTTGATGAACAAAAGTATCAAAACCTTTTGCCACAGAGCTTATTTTCTACATATAACCCCAAATTCCCATTGACTTTTTCTCCAAGGAACCAGGGAGATGCTAACTTCCGAATTGGCCTACTAGAATACGTCATCCCTGCAGCACTCCATAGCTAATATATTTGGGTTTTGAAAGGCAGTGTTTTTAGGCCATTTTATTTCAATGCCTTCCACACAAGAAACATTATCAACTGCGCTAGTGGAGATGAGGAAACCATAATGGTTACTCAAACACATTGTTGAAATTGTTCAGAGGCAGAAGGTCAGAAATGAGGTGTCTAAGTAAAACAAACTACAGAAAAAAATAACTTTTTTTCTTATTAAAGCATCAGCCCAGAACTCCATATAAATCTGAAGTTCAGTGAACTGTGCTAATGCATCGTAATGGCAGCAGATGTTCACACACTGTCTAGCGGGAGGTGGACTTGTTGAAAAAGAGGCCTAATCCAGAAACACGTGGGACATTAGATCATATCCTGTCTTCCCTTTTTGGCAGGCTCGTCTTCCACTTTTTAATTTATTACTGGGATATTTAGGACAACTCATCTGTCTCTTCAACAAATGAAAACTATCTCTGAACATATTAACCAATAGAGGCACAGATTGTTTTTTTCAGCTTGATAACATAGTTTATCAATAATCTGCTGCACTTGTGAGGTTTGAGATTGAGTGTATGTTGGAGAATAAGACTATGTTTTATCCAAGATATACCCACCATATCTATCTGAAGTGATCAGGCCTCTTTATCCCAAGTCTATGATGGTAATCTCACTTGAATCATGTGGCATTGGAAATATTTTGTTGAATCCAGAGGAAAATGTACCAAACTCCATCAACTCCATCAACATCAACTTATTACGTTAAAACTGGAAAGACCTGCTACATAGAGGGGGAAAAGTCAAATCTTGGGGAAAAAATATGAGAAAAAAGGAAAGAATTTGTGTTTTTGGCTTGCATTCAAGTCAGAGCTGTCTCTCTTACTCACTCCCTTCCTTTTCACTCTCGCCTGTTCCCCTTCCTTTCTTTCTCTTAACTTTCCCTCTCCCACTCCCACTCTCTCACACATCTGGAGGGTATCTGGTGTGGCTTGTGTGTCTCCTCGCCTGCTATGGGACAGCCTGTGTTGGGACTGGACGCCAGACTTGAGTGCGTTTCAGCAAACGTTGGTCGGAAGAGGTAAAGTAGTGGACGCGAACGTTGCTTTTGCAGACTTTACTGCTGCATGTTTTATGGCTGGCTGTTACGTTATATGGAGCTTAGACTGAGCTTTAAGTGTCAGCGTCATTCATCCATGCATGGCAGTCTTGGTATGTGTGTTTCAGACGATCTGGACTGCTTAACAGCTGATGATAATGACTAAAAGTGCTCAGCACCTCTGCTAATAAAGACTATTCTCGCTTCAAGCCACTTTAAATTACAGGGTAACATGAGAGTGCTGTTGACTTTGTGGCAGCTTTAAACTCCTCTCTGACCCCTAGATGATGTTTTTATTCTAGTCAGGGTCGACATACTTACAATAAGTGCACAGGCTTTTATTTTTCATTTGTTGTAGGTGTATGCATGTATGCTGCTGTGAGGATTTTCAGTGTGTGTGTGTGTGTATGTGTGTGTGTGTGTGTGTGTGTGTGTGTGTGTGTGTGTGTGTGTGTGTGTGTGTGTGTGTGTGTGTGTGTGTATGCCTCTGGTCTCTCTGGTAGTTATTGTAGTGTGACAAACAGAAAAGGCTCTTCTGACTGATGGCTTTCAGAAGTTTGGCTTGAGTGCCCGCATTTTGTAATATTTCTTCCACATTGATGGAGATTATGAGAGGGCTTCTTTTCTTGCTTTACCAAAACACGAGCCTCACATAAGCACTGCTGTCTTTGTGCTTGTCATACTATTGCAAAAGGCTATAGATTCATATTATTTTATTGAATCAATACCTGAAGGCTTGACTTTCTTTAAAATGGTTGATTTGTTTTATGAGTGCTTGTGTGTGAAATTAACTGGGAAAAAAAGAGACACTGTTGTCAAGGGTGATGCATGTGTTCTCTTTTCAAATTAGCCCTTGCAGTTGGTGAGGACTGAAGCTTCAGACACAGCAGAGAGAGGGGACAGAGAGCCGGCTGTTGGCCCGGTGCGTAATCAATCCAAACCCTCCATCAGTTACAGATACAGAAATGGCCCTGCAGTGCTGGTGGGGTGGAAAGATTTGAATTGAAATAATGCAGTACATAATAATACTATACATTAAGTAGTGTATTTGTATTTCTATAAAGGACCAGTGTGTGGGATTTAGTAGCATCTACCTTTACCTATAACCACATGGATTAAATTATGGTGGCTGCAAAATCTGCAAAGACAGCCCTATCTACTGTTGACCTTTTTAAAGGTTTTCATTAGTGTATAATGAATATAAAATAAAGACTCCTTGTGTTTTCGTTACCTTAGAATGAGCCACGTTGAACCACTATGTCAATCCCAAAATGGACAAAACAAACACTGGCTCTAGGCGGCTTCGGGTTTTTTGTTATTTTCACGGCTACCGTAGTTTCTTCTACACGTGTGGGTGGTCAACAGTGTTCAGTTGGTTGCATTCTGCAATTTCACCACTATGGCTGTATCCTTCACACTGGTCCTTTAAAGGGGTACTCCAGTGAATTTAGTATTGCACTTACATAAGGTGGGTTGAGAACTTGAGAGATAAAGAATGCCACTCAAGGGCGTTTATCATTAAATATTCTCTGCTTGGTTTTAAAAACAAACTCCTCGTACACTGTTTGTAACACAGGCTTACAAAGTACTGGACAATACCCCTAATATTTTTGAAAAGTCAGGGATCGACAAAGTCAGTCAGATTTATCCTCTCATAACAATTCATCCAATAGTTCTTGAGACATTTCATTCTGGACTAAAGTTGGGGCCCCCCCCTTACCATCCCTTGAGGAACGCTGCTAGCATGGCTAAAGAGGCTGGGGGCTTACAGTGTAAAGGTATTGTCATTTGTTTTTTATACCCACTGAATGAAAGCATGGCTTCAGTGTCTGAAAAATAGAATACTGTAACACCTGTCTTCTCCTCTATCCTGTGACTAGTCATAGAAAGAAGCAAGAAAAGCACAGGTGTTACTAATACAATTAATGATGGCTCCATTCTATTTAAGTGTCCGTCCTATCAAGCCAGGACAGTGAGCCAGCATGCACAATACCAGGACCCCGAAACTGAAGCAGATCAATGGAATCCAGCCATCATTCATTTGATCATTTCCCTACTGTGACATGTCAGAAGCATAGACTGTATAATAAATAGTGGACGGAACTTCTGGTTCTGTGAAATGAGGCCAATGCCGAAAACCGGCATTCTTTCTAATGGCCACTATTCTATTAAATGTAATGTAATAGAAAATGACACGACTTTGGTCTCAGTCTATAGTTTCAATGCTTCTTCCATACAGCATAATGTTTATTTAGTAAATTATGGTTCCATTTAGGGTAAAATAGATGATAAAGCAGAAAATGCTTAGGGCGTTTAGGGCTACCTTGTGATTGACAGGTCATTCTCAGTGAGTCCATCCAGCTCAACTCGAAGTACGTCAGAGCTGCTGGTTGCAAAAAACCAACATGGCAGCAGGCAGCCATTATGCCAAACTCAAGGCTTCAAAGCGATACTCCACAAACCAATGGGTGACGTCATGACCGGTTCACACCTCAAAATGTATTTCATGAAAAAGGCCTGTTGTGTGACAATCAGCCAGTCAGAACTATAAAACAAAAAGCAGAAAGGGAGTCTGAAGAATTTTGAAGAAATTCAGAATTTCCCTAAACTGTGATCCATGCACACAGATCTCCATGCCAATATTTTTCACCCCCGGTGGTCCCTGTCTCCCTCAGAGCAAGGAAGACATTATTCAGCTGTTTTCACAGACTAAGTAGTACTCCCTGTGTCTTATAAATTGATTTTGAAAATCTTTGCAGCTTTTTGCCTTGAAACAGGATTTGTTTTCTCACCCTCCAGGCTGTCATTTACGATGAGGTACCCTCCCGCCAAAACACTTCAAAACCTCTCGTCACAACAAGCTCTGAGACCATTTGGACACAGGGAATATACAAGACAAGAAGCAATATGTTCAGCTTTTTTGACAAAATACCTTTCTTCTGCTCAAAAGATGACCTTTGTCTCTAGCTTTCTGCTGGTGTTTTGAATCCCAGCTGTGAACTAAGCTGAGTTTTAAAATGTCAAAAGTGAGCTGGGAGGAACAATTGGAATTTTATGTTTATTTAACCTTCTGAACAGAATCAGGGAGTGTGTTTTAAAGCACATCAGTTGCAGAACTTCATAGCTGAGTTGCTGACCTGGGTTTGACCTTGATGAATCTCTTGAGCCTTGACAGAAAGAACTGGCTTTCTTATACAAGTTTGATTTGGTTTTGACTTTTTTGGTTCACTCTCACCGCTCTTGTCAGTGACATTTTTGGCCACAGCAGGTGTTTTCAAGGAAAAAGCTCTAAACTGTCACTGTACACCTGCTCTGTACCAAGCAGCAACAAGGCCATTAAAAAACACCTGCTTCATTGGCCAAAAAGTAGCAGATTATAGCCTTAAGGACGTCCTCTTTCCAGGAACAAAATACTGTGACCTGATGTTTTTTTGCTTTACCGCCCATGTGCTTGTGCAACAGGAGAGCTCAGCAGTGGACATGGCCTTTCCCAAGCATTCCATCCTGCAGGGCCTGAGTGTGCTGCTCTTGGCCTGGGTATTGGTGCATTGCCAGGCCCCTCTTAAAGCAGAGGAAGAGGAGGAGGAAGAGACAAACATCGCAACGGCGGGACCGAAATCCGAGCTAATCGAATGTCCGGCAGAGTGCAGCTGTACGGCAGAGGGGGCAGTGGACTGCGCCGGAGTTGACCTCACAGAGTTCCCCGCTGAGCTGTCTGACAAAACCCGCCAGCTCTCTCTACAGGTCCTTCACACAACTGCACACACACGTACATTAACAATACACTTCCACATTTTGTAATTCTGCTTAGACTAGTGCAAAACCCTTATCTGACATTGTTCTTTCTGTCTGTGTTTGCTCCCCTGATGCCAGAACAACAAAATCGAGGAGATAACAGTGAAGCACATTTCCCATCTGCATCAGCTCGAGACTCTCAACCTGCAGAACAACTGGCTTACCACGGATGGTAAACACTGTAAAACAATCTAAACACCTTGCAGGAACCCAGTGTACAGCAGGGGAGCAGATTACAGACATGTCTATAAGGTTGTTTTGTGGGAAAAAATGTGGTTTGTCTGTGTTGACGTGCCTCATCAGGTCAATTTCGAGCAATTTTAGTTTGTGAAGTAATTATGCCTATTGGATGTTTATTAAAAGAAGAGTTGTTGTTTGGTGTGTGTCAATATTGAGTTAGTTACTTATTTTTATAGAAACAAAATCTTTTCAAATAAAAACAATAGTGGCAGAGCAAAGGCAGTTTGTTTTGCTTACTGTAAACTCTTGCCCAATTCATGCTCTGCTTTTAAAAAAGTGTTGCTCTAGATCCAGTTCAGCAAAGCAATCTGCCCTCCTGTTCCTGCTGGCATTGGTTAAGCCTTTGTTTGTCTTTAAAAAAAATGTCAAGCCCCAGTTGCGCATCTAGTGTTCACAAAAGCATTCAAAATAAATGTTAAATTACAAAGCAGACGTCAGACCTTTTCTAACAACTGTGTTGTTTCTAGAGGTGTGGCTGAATGCCAGTTGGCCATTATCATTCTGGCTAACAGTGCTGCCAAGAGGAACAGATAGCTTGGTGGGTTATTGTTTTCCCGGCCAGCTGTGGTTCACCGCTGACTGATGTTTCTCAAGCTCTAACTGCAGTTTCACAGATCATTGTGAATTGAGCATTTTGTTGTAATGCTACCCCTAACAGACCAACATGAGGCCATAATCCTGCATTGGAAAAGAGTTTGTGTGAGAACTCCATATGGTGAGATTGTGTACCTGGCTACAATGTAGCACAGTACAGGCCCATGGATATGTTTGAAAAGTGCTTCCTGTCATTCACAGATACGACTGTAGAGTGTCAGGGTCTGCACCACGTTTGGCTAGGATTTAATATTACTTTATCTACAGATGCTGCAGGTTGCCTTCCATGGCAATATTGTTACAGTAGACAAACCAAACACTGGCCCTAAATAGGGCTGTATACGATTTTTGTGCGTTTCGCAGCTACCGTAGTTTTTCTTTGCACTTGAAAGGGCAGGGTGAAACAAGAGAGTTGCAATCTGCAACATAACCACTAGATGCCACCAAAACACACTGGACCTTTAACACTGAGTCATCAGGCTGAACCGAGTATACAAGAATCATCAGTGTCACTGACTGGAGTAGAAAGTTAATCAATAATGATGCAATATTTATTTTGCAAATATGTGGTTGCTGAGCTATTAGCCTTATAAACAATGTTTATATAACCCTGGTTTTGAACAAAATAAACCCATGAATTGCCATTATTTGCACTGAACTGAAGACCTTCTGAAGCAGGGAATTTACATCTCTGGTGTGCATTTGGATAGTGAAACCATTTCTCAGCTCAGAGTAAAAACAAGCAATGTGGCATTCCACTGCTCAGTCTAGCTTTAAAGAACTAAAGGAGATGATCAGTCCTGATGAAGAAACAGCCTCTGATGTGTTCAGTCAATTTTACTTAAAATATCTTCTTGTAATTTGAGATTATTTTCATATGTATCCTTGATGACAACCACACAGTATTTAATATGTTATTAAATATTGGCTCATGATGGCATGTTTTTTCTCTTTATAGGCCTTGAAGATGAAGGTTTTGAGATGCTTGAACAGCTGGCTTATTTATACTTGGCAAATAACAAGGTGAGTCATACACCAGACTTTCAAATGTTTGTTCTTAAATGTTGACCTCAAATCTGCTCACGTAATGCAAGAGCAAGTTTATCTTTCTTGTGTCCATCTCACAATCATTTTAGACAATTTTTTTCTATTCCCAATACACTGAGATAGTGCCAGCTGGCAGAAAGGGGTGGCAGTCTCCTCTCATACACTCTGTGTGAGCTTATGCTTGTAATCACTTCCAGTATGGCTGTGCCAGCTGGTCAGAGCTAAAATGTTACTGACCCTTTTGGACAGAACGAGAGAGAAAGGATGGACAGATTTGTTTGTGCCTTCACAGGGATGAATAGGCAAATGGGATACAGGAAGAATGGGGGATTTTTAAGTGCTCACTAAGCCTCAAAGACACCCATGCTGCTTTAATCCATAAACCATGTTATAAAGGAGAGAGCTCTAAATGAACATCTAATCTCACCAGTGCTTCCCAGATTTCTATATTCCCTACTATTTTGTACGATGTAGCACTGGTCCTGGTAGGAGTAACAAAAATGGGGGAAAACCCTGCTTTTATGAAATTGTGCACATCTAGCCACACAGCATTTCTGGTTTGTAACGAACTGAAAATATCTGGTTCTTTGGAGAGTAGTATGTATCGAAGCAAATACTAAAACCACAAAATAGTTTGTAAAATTGTTTGTCTTTCAAAACAATCCAAAATCCAAATTACAAAAAATGCTTAAGGTTTTAGTTAAATGTAGTAATCATGCATGGTTAAAAACAACACTACAAGTCTACCGCCACCCTATCAGCTCTATAAGAGTATACATAGGGCAATGCTTTGAGCTAGATGCTAATAATATGCTAAGAACATTAGTATGCTGGCATGCTCATAATGACAATATAAACTTGTTGTTGTTTAATGGTATAATGTTTACTATGGTCAACATCTTTGTTTTCTATGTTAGCTAGTCACTATTTAGCACTAAACACAAAGTACAGCTGAGGATTGGAATGTCGTTAGTTTTGGAGGAATTTGGTCAAAATATTATTCAAATTGAAGTTTTACCTGATGATGATGTTGCAAGATGAAAAGTCAACAAAATTATGACAATTTACGCTGCAGGAAACATGAATGTCTGCTAAATCTATTGGGGATTCCATTTGATACATTTCACTGTGAAACAATAATGTCAACCTTCTGGTGGCGCTAAGTGAAAAGTCAGGGGATCACTAGTCATACTTACAGTGTCTGCAAGTACACAAAGGGTCTGCAAGGGTCTGAGTCACGTAAATGTCATCTTTAGAGGGTGTGTGTGTAGGCTCTGTGCGAACATCTGTCTGCAAATGTCTGTCTGCATGTCTGCAACTGTCCAAGTACCTGTCCTGATGCTAGCGTGTCTACAAAGACTTGATTAAAAAAAAAAATAATAATAATATAGGGAAAATGGTAGTCATGATTACAAGAGAGAAACACTGGCTTGTGGCAGGAGGCAGGATGTAAACTATGTACATTCATTATTTGCTCATTAGAGCTCATTTTAATGCTATTATTGAAGAGAGTCTCAAGAAAATCCCCTCCTCCTTACGTCAATGTAATCATATATTTGTACAGCAATGTCCTGTCATGCTTCTTTTTTTATGTTTGCAGCTCACCTCAGCACCAAGAGTCTTACCGCCCTCTCTGGTCAGTGCAGATTTTGCTGCTAATCAACTTACAAGGATCTACCCATATACGTTTGGCCATAAACCAAAACTGAAGTAAGAATGTGTGTGTTTGTGTAAATGTACCTCTAGTTCTTGGAATTATGTTCATTTATTAACACATGGCAATGTCCCTTGATCATGGTTTCCAGATCTGTGTATCTCCATAACAACAAGCTGACTGACGCAGGGCTTCCTGATCACATGTTCAATGGTTCTGACAACCTGGATATCATCACCATGTCTAGCAACTTCCTGCGGGTTGTCCCGAAGAATCTGCCCCCCACCCTTTACCGTCTTCATCTTAAGGTCCAGCACCTGTTAAGTTTGCACGTAGATGTTACGTGGATGACCTACATCTTGTTTCTTCTCATTCATGAATACAGTGACAATGATAACATAAGGACTGCTCCTGTTGTTACAGAGTAACAAGCTGGAGAAAATCCCAGCAGGGGCCTTTGACAATTTGCGCAACCTCAGAGAACTGTATCTCCAAAACAACCTCCTCAGCAATGAGGGCATGGACAACGAGACATTCAGGTGGATAAAAATCCTCAAACACAAACTCCCAGGCGTTAGCGACATTTTGATGTCATTGTGTAAAAAAGATTGTAATTGCATTTATATGTTTTCAAGTGTGAACCAGACAAAAGCATATACTCCACAGTGACGATGTGAATTATCCTGTTGCAGCATCAAAGAGAAAGCATAAAGTACAGGATCTAAGAACTGATTTGATGACTTCCTCTCCTTCTCCCCTGGCAGCCAACTAAGCAGCCTGGAGTTTCTGGACTTGTCAAATAACAACCTGAGCGTGGTCCCCAAAGGTTTGCCTCGCAATCTAGTGCTGCTACATCTTGAGAAGAACTCCATCCGCAGCATCCCTGGAGATGCTCTCACTTCTGTCCGAAACCTTGAGTACCTGCTACTCCACAATAACAAGCTCCGCTCACGTTCCATCCACCCGGCTGCCTTCCAGGTACATTTCTTTTTCATTGCCATTCTATTTTTTACAGGATAACTGAGCTTTTCATTTTGTATTTTCAATTGTAAGAAGAGACCAGAAGAGATGATATGCTCAGCTGTTTTGCTGTGAGCATCTGACAAATTAAGACATATGGACATTTTACATTTGCATTTTTATTAGGGCTTGAAGAAGCTGCACACTCTCCACATGTACAACAACTTGCTGGAGCGGGTTCCCAGGGGGCTGCCTCGCCGGGCCAAGACACTGATGATACTCCACAACTTAATTGCTGAAATTGGTCGCAATGACTTGGCCCTGCTGTACACCCTGACTGAGCTCAACCTCAGCTACAACAAGCTGACCAGCCCCAGGCTGCACCGCGAGGCCTTCAGGAAGCTGCGTCTGCTGGAGACCCTGGATCTGTCAGGGAACAGCCTTCACTCAATGCCCCTAGGTCTTCCCCGCAGTCTGCAGGTGCTCGAAATCAAGAACAACCAGCTAAACTCCATACCGGACGGTGCACTGACGGGCATGGAGAAGCTACGGAAGCTCATCCTGAGCAACAACCAACTGAAACTAAATTCAGTGTACCAGGGAGCCTGGATGGAGCTCAGTGCACTCACGGTGAGTGTGGGCTGGGGGAGGAATAAACAGATCAGATATTAGTGCAAGATGTTTTATAGCCCTTGTCCACTGCAGGAACTTAAGATGTGTTTTGCTTCAATCTTCTTCGGTATTCTTCGGCATAAGGGCAGAAGTTTTATCTGCTATTTCCTGCTAATAGTACGTACCAGTGTAGACCTGGTAAATTCTGAACTCTCAGTATAATATGTGTATTAAGTATCAAAGTGCCCAAATTTATAGGACTTTTCCACTGGCACTTTTGGCCGTGCTGGATCAAACCATGGCATGCTGATTTGGATTTCCATTACTAGTAACTAGTAACTAAGCGCACCAGTGACATGCACTTGAAAACAAGCACAATATTGATCCTTCTTCGTGTTTCTGTTTCTTTAAACACTGAATAGTAGTTTCTTCCTTCAGAGGATGGCAAGCAAAATTGTAACAACAGCCTGAAAATTCATGAGTAGCTGGCTACCAATAACCGTAGCACAGCGCTACAGAGGGTGCTGCTGCTGAACATCATCGACTCAAGACAAGTGCATCTTCAGTTAAAAACACACCTTCAAGGGGGTAGCCCTGTTGCAGTGGAGAAGTAAATCCCTGCCACGCTTGGCTGAAGCGAGTTAACCTGCATCAAGCCAGCCAGCACGTGTATAAAAAAGAGCTATTATTTCAGGATACTGAAATTACTACTGAAATATATATATATGAAAGTATTATATTATTATGCATCTTGTTACTTTAGACTCTAGACCTGTCTGGCAACCAGCTGTCACACATCCCCTCTGACCTGCCTGAGTCGCTGGAATACCTTTACCTGCAAAGTAACCGCATCTCCAGCATTCCTGCCTCTGCATTCGAAGGCACTCCAAACATCAAAGGCATCTTTCTTCGGTAAGGGACACACAATCCATTTCTTACAAACCAGGAGATTATAGTTATCATCTCAGTACCTTGATTTTCTTCATGCATCCTTCTTGAGTGTTTGCGCAAGCTGTTTTACTTCAAAGTAGCTGCGCAACACAGACAGGAGGGTATATGTCTTAAAATGACACTCAGCACCATCCTCAGGGCTTTGTAGAAGACTGGTGCCTGGTGGTTCTTTTCCATTTGGATTGATCTCCACTCAGGAAATGATTATGCAAGAGTGGCCGAAGAATGGCTGTGAGGAAATTGTTGCTTTTGTTTATACTGCTCCACAAGAGCAGCTGCCAGTCGGGTAAATGTCCACCAGTGCTCAGAGCCTCTTTTTTAAAACATATTTTTCCAATCAGCCCAGAGTGAATTTATAGGCATTTTCTGCACTCTTTACTCTTATTAAAGCATCTGAGAAAAGATCACATTCACAGAGCATAAGACAAAAGTGAAGGTTGAATGTCTGTTGAATATATGAAGTTGTGTCGGACTGCAAATTGTATTCAGAAACTCTAAAGGTATAGTCTGACATTTTGGGATATGTGCTTATTTGTCTGTATGGTATATGATCCTACTGCCAGCAGCTGGTTAGCATAGCTTAACAAAAAAACTGGAAACTGGGAAACATCTTGCATGGCTCTGTCCAAAGGTAACAAAATTATCTTAGCAGCAAACAACAGTATTTCTTGGCCAGGCGCAGCGACTTCCTAGCCTGCTGCTGACCGCAGCTTTATAATTACCATACACACAGGAGAGTGTGATCAGTCTTCTTATCAAACTTGTGCCAATAAAGTGTTTATTCAAAATGTCAAACTCTTCATTTACAGTTTTGTAACACAATGAGTACAAACCTGATATTATAAATGTTGAAATGTTAGTTTGAAACTTTCAAACCCTACTTTTAACTTTTCACAACATAGTTTAAACTGTCAAAACATAATTTTAATCTTAAGAATTATAGTCTACACTGCGTTATGTGAATAAGGTTTTACCTCATAATGATAACCTTGTGATAAACTTATATATATATATATATATATATATATATATATATATATATTATATATATAAATATGCTTTGTGTCCGGTTACTAATCAAGTAAATGAGTGTTGGACAGTCCAACTGAGCTTCATTTTGCAGAGTACTGCAGTGTGGTATCTAATCTCTCCATCTCCTCTAACTTGTGTGCATTCAGCAAATTTTCCACTTTGGTTTATTCCACATAGTGCAGGCTTATACCCACAAGCACTGCAGCTGAAAGCAGCGGTCAGCCAGCCGACTAAAGAGGTTTCGGACAAGCATTTTCAAAGCTTTTGTCCCGTTTGGTTTTCAGTCTGACCTCAACCTTGCTGCTTTATTGCTCCTGTTTACAGGCGTTGACCCCTTCCAGGCTGTTGTGCTCTTCATGTTGTTCATATCAGCTGCTGCCACTATTTTTTCCTCGACCAAAATCCCTCTACAGATGGGAGCCTTTGGCCTGAGCCAATTTTGAGCCGCTGGAATGCTTGCATCAGTGGGGGATATAGAACGAGGATTTAATAATTGCATTTGCATTGCATGTGGGCTAGTTATTAAAATTCATGGGCAACATCTGCAAGCATTTTCAATGATAGCGGAGATGCAGTAGATTCAAGGTATATATTGAGTAAAACACCTGCGACTGTGTTTGATCGACTCAACGCGTTAGTGTAGGTGTAGTTCAGTGTGGCATAGGTGCTCCACAAACGAGTCCCACTGCACTGACCCCTGAGTGGAGAGAAGCTGTCAGACGCCTGATCCTCTTGACAGATGTGATTTGTAAATGTCACCTGCTGTCTGTTAACCATCTCATTTTTGATTTTAGCCTCTCAAACCCGAGTAATCAAAAGGATCAAATTCTGATCAACTGTCAACTGTCACCCTACAAACGTTCCTCTTTTTTTTCCTTTTAAGGTTCAACCGCCTGTCTGTGGACTCCGTGGAAGAGAGCTCCTTTGCTCACCTGTCCAACTTGCAAGTGCTGGACATCAGCACAGGAAACGTCGACCTCCCATTTAAAAAAGAGGAGGTGGAAGGTGATAAAATGATGGAGGAGGAGCAGGAAACATAAGACAGGATCAACTAAACTGACATTGGACTGCAATGTGTCAAGGACAGAAAAGGCTTTGCGAACGGGAATGAACCTGTGAATGTCAGTTTTCAGGTCCATTATTGTGTTGGGCTCAGTTACATATTTCTGGTGCAGGATACCGGATGTTACTTTAGTTTCCATTTTTTGGGCTGGTTAGTGTTACATATCTTTATATCTGAGCTAATATTTGTTTTTGACTGTTGACATGCAACATCTATCATCTAATTGTGTTTTTGTGCTTTATTATTAAAAATGAACAAGAGGTCAATGTGAAATTTTCCCATGTAAATGTCAGAGAACCAGTACCAAAGATATAAGCAGAGTGAAAAAGGTCAGATGTTGTTGCGTCTCTCTCTGCCACTTTGACAACGGTTACATTGTTTCCCTGGCTCAAAAAAGTGATTTTACTTGAAATACTGTGAAAATTCATGTTTTAACACCAAGAATGGCAAGATACAACAGTCTGACTTCCACTGTAACCAATGGCGCCTGTTGAAAGAAACACTGCAACAAGTAATCGAGAATAGGGCAGCAATTCAGTTTCATTATCAATTAATCTATCTTTTTCAAGTAATTGATGATGCCCATCAGAACCCTGAAGGGATTTTTCAAATTGCTTATTTTGCTGGATCAACAATCCAAAAACCTCAAGCATTCAATTCCTAAAGATATAGAAAAAACATTTGAGAGGCTTTAAAGTTACAATCCTTAAAATGTTATCAACATATTCTATATATAATAGAGTTATGGCCCGCATTTTTTACCATACGCCATTCACCATGTTTGCTTTCTGCAATAGTGTTACTATGTACATTGTATTATTGTTACTGGCAGTCTGCTTTTAGTTAATTACAAAATAAATTAACAGTAAACACATAAGGGAGTCATAACAAAACGACATATACATACTGAACTTGATGCACATATTTCCTGTACTGCGAAACATTTGATCATGTTTTAGCTCAAGATTTTGTTGGCCCTGTTTTAAAAGACACACATGTTTGCTGCTTGCAGTAGTCGTTGTGTATCATTTTGACAAGTTCTCACTCCCAGGTCATCAAATACTGGTACTTGGTCAGTGGCCCTCTGCTTCAAAATATGACGTAGGTCTGTAAGTATTCAAGTCAAGTTAGCAACAATAAATACGTAGTGTCCAGTTAGACTTTTAACGTTATGAACCAGTCGCAGTTTGGTAAGGGTTAGGCACAAAAACATTAGTAGTTACATGAGGTACCTGACCAAAACGTCCAAAATTGTTTACTTTTGATTTCACCCTGGACTAGGGCCGTTTACAGAGCTTCTGAAATCTGATTGGCCATCCCAAATGGCACCCCATTAAGAAGAAGATATACTTTATTAATCCCCTAGGGGAAATTGTTCTTTTCATACACACACAGGCTGAAATACACACTTCATGCACTGCACTGCACTGCAACAGGGAGAGAGATGGTAGAGTGATGGGACCCCACTTTCTGGGGGGCAAGGGCATCGGCAGCAGGGACGGCACCAGCATCAGTCCACATTCCATATGTCTGTGGGACGAACCACACCCGGTTCCCAAGCCAAGTCCCACACCGGGCACGCCGCCTCATTATCCATAATTCCTACATTCTGAACCATATTTCAGAGGCTGTAGCGGGCTCCATTGTAAAGCTAGCAAAGAGAGAGATGTCCAATTTATGCTAAAACTGTGCATGTGATATAAAGTTGTAATTTACGCCTAGTGCATTTGAATATTTCTGCATACTGCGGTCCTCAACAGTACTGGAATTGCATAAATTGGAAAGCTGAGACATACTTCATGCCACCCCAGCATAAGTCAGTCCCCCACTTGTGCCACCCCAATCAAAAAAGTCTGGAAACCCCCCTGCAGGGGCAGAAACAGTGGCCTCCTGTGTTAAAGTCCTGTGTTTGTTTGAGGGCCCATCCAGAAATGATGCTAGAGGGATACCTACAGCGTCATATTTTGAAGCAGAGTTTTTGAACTTATTTCATTAAATTGCACCAAATTACCACCAGTAAACACATCTTAAGGACTGTAACTTAAGCCTGTAAATTCTAAGTAGTTTACCGTAATAAATTATTTAAATAATGAATCATAATTAAAATGATCTTAGATTACCTTTCTTTCAAAAGCAAATTAAATTAAATTAAGAGTACTGTTGCAGCGCTACTCTCAAATCATGCAGGTGTTGAAAAGTGACAGATACACAGCCAGTGAGGAACTGGAATGACAGCAATTATTTTGGAAAGCAGTAATACAGCTACAGTGTGGGTGATTGTGGATATCATCATTTTTATGTTATCCTTTTGCCATGCACTTGTGAATGAAATATTCCAAACATAAAAGCAATTTCAACATATCTGAAGCTTCAGTCCATGCTGCTGCTGCTACTTCAGTCCATTCATTTTTAAAAGATAGCAAATATTTTTATATGACATTAAAAATACTCATCCTATTACACTCACTATATTGCTATGAATACAGTGTCACTTTCACATACAGCAGTATTGTCACATATACAGTCATTGAATACAGCAATAAATTATTTGAAAAGGCTGACGAAGACTGTGCGTTTCCTAACATTCACCACAACATCTGATAAATATTTCAGCAGGTTCTCCCACACAGGGCATTTGTCTCTGATATGCAGCTAGTGCAGATATTTCAAATACAAGTACTGTAGCAAGAAAAAAACACATCTCAGATTACAATCTATTATCTTCCCATGAGAAAAATGTTGGCAGCCTGTTGCACATCAGAACGCAGAACCAGTGAGAAGCACTCTGAAATGGTTGATAGTGGCAAAATACATGAAAACTACTGTTGGACCCCAGTAAGTCTTTAAGTGAGATGCATCATAAAGAAATTGCACACGTCTAAAGTGTATCTTAATATAATACTCACATGCAATAATAATTCCTCCTCATCATACTGGCCAAAAAGCAGTCAGTGCTTAGAAAAATCAATGGAAAGATGCAAGTGAGTGCAATTGCAACCACATTTTCCAGCAAAGATAATTATGAATCTGCATCAGGAAAAGGGAGAGAGATTGGATTTCTCACTGAAGCCAGAGATAGATTGCTTTTTGAACGTGTGTTTGTGAACGCTGCTTCCTAATGGCTTGGACATGTGAGCAGTGCGTGACAGCTGACAGGAGGTGTTGAATCTTTTCTTTTCACTTCAAACACTAAAACTGTAGGATTGCAAAAAGATATACTATGAGTGATGCTGCATCAGGATTTCAGGATTATATCTATATAGTTGGAGAACAATTTACTTGTAATTCTCAACAGGGTGCGAGTTACAGGGAAGTCAGCCATCACCATCAAAGTGTACTAGTGCTATATCATAAACTTCTACTTTTATTTTTACTTTAAAGTAAAAGTGAGCTCTTCCAGGAGCAATGTTATAGTTTACACACAGACTCCCAACAGCTCGCCAAATTCCTCCCAAACCTTTCTGTGGATATCCTCTCAACCTCATAAATTAGTCTCTAAAATAGAAAGCACACTTCTCCCACATATCCATGTTGACTTGACTAGTCTCACATACTTTGGCAGGTTTGAGGTGGAGAAGTGCATGAAGCTTTGCCTGTCCGCTGTTGCACTCAGCAGGTTTGGACATCTTCATTGAGACAAAGTGAAACAATCTGATGTTCGTGCATTCACATTGCTTCCAGCAACCATCATGCGTGCATTAAAACCCCTTCTCCGGCCTGAAACTGACATGCATGTGGTCAGTGCATAGGTTGCTAGCTTGCTACAGCTTATGTACAGCTGGTTCTTAGCTGTATGAGGTGAATAAGGCTATTCAAAGGGTTCAGGGATCAAATTCAGGCAAACTATGTTAGGCAAATGTGTTTGAAGTCTTGAGTACACCTTGAGTAGGAAGTTGTTTCTGACAACAATTTGGATTTTTTGGATATAAAGTTTACTGCACTAAATTTACTGCCGGCCATTTTATCTAAGTGCTAGAATGAAAAAAGTACTGCCAATGTGTCCTCTAGCAATTCCACAATGCAATGCTGTGCATTTTATTGAGAGGAAATGTTATATGATGTTGCAATGAATATAAAGCTGAATATGGCCTTGCTATCATTTTCCCCAAGTACAAAAAGCATTTTCCAAATAGACTTCCATTATAAAACTGTGTAAAACTTTACCAAAGCCAAGAAAACCTAGCTCTTATTTGCCAATATAAAGTCTATGGACCGAGCAGGAAACACTAATGCAACCTAAAATGCAACTGTAAGCTTGATGAGTAATTTTCATTCAATTGAGTGGGTGCCATCTTTGAATCCGGTATCCAGTTCTTATCCATTACTGTGACACTGCACCTGCCAGTGATGACGCATGATGATGATGATGATGATTCATAAGTATCTTTAATTTTCTGCTCACTATAGAGCAAACTGTTCTGTTATATGACTGTGGAGTGAATGAATGAGCAAAGGAGTAGATTTTGTCCAGTATTACTTACAATGTGCCAGTATGAACAGGAGGAATATTTATAGCAAGAGTAGTATTAAGTCAGACTTGGAAAGATCCAAGTCTAAACCTTTAACTAAATGGCTTCAGTGCATAATGATGAAATATACTAATACAATACTAATACAGTAGCAAAGCTCCAAAGTTAGTTCATCTGTTATAGATATATATAATGTTCAGATCTTCTTTGATATATTGCAACTAGTAGCAAAAGAAACTCATCCAATAAACAAGGACCACATGGTTTTAAATGTTGAATTAGTGATTGTTTTTAGGCTGTTCAAGTGCCAGGAAAGTTTAATTAAATTAAGTGCTCCTGGGGCTATTACTTGAAACCATACAAATCTATATTTTGCCCATGTATTAAAGTTATAACATGAAGGGAATGTAACGTTTCTGATCTTCTTCTTCAGTCCTCTCTTACCTGTCATCACCATAAGCCTAGCACCTCCAGCTTTGTTAAGGCAAAATTAAACAGTTAGGGCATTTCACTTTGCCTCCTGCATCATTTAGCTCAAACCACTTGCAATCCTGACTTGTCTCTTATATGACACAAACAACTGGTTGCTTGCAGTGGTATAAAATATAATAAACACTTGTCTTATTAATATGTTGCACACAGACAAAAAAAAATATTATAAATTATATAAAATGCAGATATCAAATAGAAATCAGTTTATCAATGCAAGTACTCACGCCTGTATTCAGAGTCTCAGAGTTTAGGTGTGAGCTCATGCTGCACGTCCACACCCAGGACGAATGTATATGAATAAAATCACACTGTTGTCCTTTTGGGGTCATAAATTCCACTGTATTCAGTCTTACAGGAAGCATTTCACTGTTATAATGACCATAAACCAACAGTTGCCCCACTGTGAGACTTTCTTCTTAGTTTTACAGAATAAGCTGAAAGATGAAGATGAGCCTGACCGTGCTGTTCTCCCACCGGTAGAGGTATCAAGGTTCTGATCAGCACATCTACACAGACTCAGAAAGGGGGCTATACGTTGGTCTCAAGGCCATTCATGTCAATAGTGCAGTGTTCTTTGCCCTTCTTCAGGTGCCTCGGGGGAATCGGAGGCTTCTTCCTCTCCGACGGCGGCCGAACGCCCTCCTCCAGCTGCATCAGCCGGGCCACATCTGAAGGGATCAACTCTTGTTTGACCCCTGAGGAAGGGAGCCGGTAGTTGCCATTGTTGTTGTGACAGTTCAACAGGGGTGGGTTGTTTATCGCTGGTTTGGTCTCGCAGATCAAAGGCACCTGGGGCCCGACAGGGTCACAGGAAAGGAAGCAGCAAGTGGAAGAAAAAATTAAAGCTTGTCAGGAAATAGACAGTTGAAAAAGAGCTGAATGTTATATCCTTTCACCCAGATTTAAATATTTTTACATTATAGTTTGAAGACTCAAAGTGTTTTTCTCCTGTTGTCTCTGACTTGTTGTTGGTATTTGCACTCATACTTGACCATTGGTCTGGCCAAATATTCTAATTGGTCTGGACCAAGTCTAGCAATATATGGGTTTTTTCTGTAGTAAAGTTTCTTCAAACACACAACCATTGATAAGGCGCACTCTTCTTCTGTCTCTTTTGGACGACACAAACCTTTTTGGACTCTGGTCTTGACTCTGTCTCCACTAGTCATGGACTGTTTCTTCCTAAATGTCTGCTATTTTGGCATGTTTAGCAAAAGCCTTGACAGTTAAAGAAAGACAAATAGTAACATGACGCAGTGGTCTTCAGTTTCAGGAAGTCGTATTGACAGCACACTGGGAGACCAACTTTTGATCAGCTTGATCGCGCCAGCCTACTACATTTTGAAGTACCCTTTTAAAGACGTGTAATTCTGTTACAACTGTAATAGAGAAGGACTGTTTCAGGACTGAAGCCACAATTAAAACTCACCCCATCTCCCTCTTTCATGAAGTCTTTCCTGCAGATGTGTGCCATGATCCCTGTGGCCAAAGCATCCCCCATTACATTTACCATAGTGCGGAATCTGTCCCTGTCGAAGAGGAGGACATTTCAGAGAGAACATGAGTTGAAATTAGATCTGAAATATTTCTGGATGTTTTGGCCAAGTGAAGACGAGATGACGAAGATGTGGCTCATCTGTTCTTGCTGGACTATGATTAGTTTGGATCTGTTAGACAAAAGTGATTGATGTGAACACACATGCTACTTACAATGCCCAATCTACTGCGATGATGAGAGTGATGTCATCTGTTGGCAACCCGACAGATGTTAGCACTATCACCATGGTGACCAGCCCGGCTTGTGGTATCCCTGCTGCACCGATACTGGCTGCAGTGGCTGTGATACTGGAGATTTAGGAGGTCAGTATGGTTACAGAGAGAAACATGATGTCACTTTATGAACATACACATCAACAAAGAACTCTATGTAATGTATCAACTGATGGCTGTAGACCTTTAACAGTAGTTCCTGTGGGATGTCATGAGAGGCCAATATACAACTAAAAGTCACAAGGACAAGACAAAAGGAACATCTCCCCTCCTTCACAAAATTTAAAAGAATTCATAATCACATATTAAATTCATCACACATAAGAGGAAATTCCTACAACATAATCCTCGTATCTTTCTGGGTTTTGTGCGTAGGCTACTGGGGATTCTTAATTGGTCTCAAACATAATTTGAATGCAGAGCAACAGACAACAGGTACATTGTTATTATGATAATTTGAGGGGAAGGGCCGCACATACACTCTAGGTTCAATTAATGAAGTGTCTTATGAGCGTGCAACAATAGTGGCTGTGTAGAGAGTGAACTGCATGTTGATGTACGTCGGATATCTGGTGCAGGTCCAGAGGTTGCGGATAGGATGATCCCACCACTCACAGCAGGGTGGTGAGAGATGGTGGAGGGTGGGGGATGGGTGGGTCCAGCATTGGCGTGACAGGGATATAATGGTTTATCAAGGCCACATGCCTCTTTTCTGAGAGATAAGCAGATAGTTTCAATCTACAGTCGCTGTATGGAATTATATAAAATGGTTTCCTTTGTTTTCTGTAAATAGGTGATGACAAAGTGGCAATATCAACATTTTAGTTTAGCATTACTATGTTATGACACTGTTCTTTACAGGTAAATATATAATTTGTGGATATCACAACACAACAGTAAAAGATTGGCATGTCAGAAACTGAATGCCCGATGCCAGCCAGGCACTGAGGGAGCCTCAGAGATTCACCGTAGTGGTGTGGTTTTCCTGGTATGACGCTCAGAGAGAAGAGACACTGGACTACGTTTGGGATTCATTCAGCAGTTTTAAAATTTTGCACATACAGGACATCTGCACAATATTTTTGTAATCCAGGACAGGGTGGAGGTATCATTGTTTGCTTTACAGTTAAAGCAAAATGGTTTTCCACTGTTTGAGGTTTGACTGGGGTGGATGGGAACGCACATTAATTGTTGTTGTTTTTTGTCGATCTTCGAGTGTTGCAGTTCGTTCATTTTTTGTTTGAAGCATACTGAACCCTTAAGACAAGGTTTAAGTAACTGGAGTATTATCCTGGATATTCCCTCCTATTCCAGCTCTGTCTACTTAAAGCCTTAACTACTGTATATTAACTTTTGGTTTTGGTGGCTCTTTTTGGAAGTTTTCCAGCTACAATTCATTGGCCTGAAATGTTGAAACACTGGGTTTAGCTGCATCGATATGTTTACTGTGATTTCTTGGATTGCTTGATGAAAGGCAGGACTTTGCTAGCAATTAGCGACTTCTCTGGAGGCTGTGCGAGCTCACACTTGTTTGATGTATTACTGTTTTCTAATGACATATTGTAGGAATTATTAAAGTAATTATTGATGCTCATATAACAGTTTTATAACATGAGGAAACCTTACATCCATCAGCAGTCTTTATTTCCTCACTGGGTTTATGCATCATGTTTTAAACAAGCATTTTAAACTGTCTATAACAATCTGTACTGTAACTAATCAGGTCAGAAAATCACGAAAAAAAACCCCCCAGAGATATACATATGGCACAGTGCATTTCTGCTATGCATTGTAAAGGATTTATCGCTGTTGATATCATTGCTTTAAAATCCCAATGATATCTTTACCATGTTAATGAGCTTAGAAGCACAGATGGTTGATAGCACGGTCCACTGACCTGATGGTGATGATCTGGCCAAAGTCCAGCTCATAATTATTTACTTGTGCAATGAATATTGCAGCCACAGCCTCATAGAGAGCGGTGCCATCCATATTGATGGTGGCCCCCACAGGGAGCACAAAGCGGATGATGCGGCGGTCAATGTGGTTGTTCTCTAAGAGGCACTTGAAGGTTATAGGCAATGTGGCAGAGCTGAGGAAGACAAGACAAGACAAATAGGTCAGGGAAACAACTGGTTTGTTGTGGTCAGAGACATTCAGCCTTTCAATCATGCAGCAGATGCTTTTTGCTGATCTGAGCTCACAACACACATGTAATGATGGATGCAGCAGGCTTTTACTCTGGCCTGAACAAACCACTAAATACTGTGGTCACCAGCACCACACACTGAATACACACTCCCTTCTCCAGGATGTTCGACAAGGATTGCTTTGTAAAGATGTAAAGATCTTAAAATTCAATAGACTATACCAAAGTTTTTGTGTGCTTTCACCAAACCACCAAACTTTACATTGCTGAGCAGCATTTTCCAAAGCATGATGCTGTGTTTTAGATTTTTAGTTTTTGGCTTTTCCTACCTTCTAGGCCACCACTGGTTCTCATTCATTTCTGCGTGGGGTTGACAATTAAACCAGTTGGAAATCTACCACAGTGAACATGTCTGCTAATGTAAATATATAAATAAAGATAAAACATGCAAAAACACTGTCACTGTCGTCTCAACTGAGCTATAACCCAAACTACAAAAACATGTGCATGTGCAGCGCATGTGCAGAACTGAAGCACACACACAGACACACACACACACACACACACACACACACACACACACACACACACACACACACACACACACACACACACACAAATGGAGAAGTGCCAGTCTAATCAGACACATGGAATGCTCCTTTATATTTCTATCTCTTCCCACACACACCAGATGTTTTCTGATCTCCCAACATCCCTTTGAGGCTTTTCAGGGTAATGTTCCAGTAAATGGACAGGAAAGGATATGTGGTATTAGGACTCAGGCATATATAATTTTGATCTACACATGATAAAGTGTGTTCATCCTGTAGTCATTTCCTTCACCTGGAAGAGGTTGCCAGGGCGATGAGCAGGGCTTGCAGAATTCCCCGTATGTAAACGATGGGGCTCTTTTTGGTGATGAAGAAGTACATGGCGGGTAGGATGAACAAGCCATGCAACACCAGACCAAACACCACGGTGACAGCATAGAAACCCAGCTTTTTCCCCATTGCTGATGGATCGCTCATCTCCAGGATCTTACCGGCCACCAGGAACACGATGCCGAACGGGAAGTACCTGGCAGGACGAGGAGTAGCTCAAAGTCAGTCTTACATGTAGTAGTTAGACAGCTGTTAGATCTGTTGACCTATAGACAAGTTTCCAAGCAAATTTAAGCATCACAAAAGTAGTATCCCAAGAAGAAAACCTCCCTTCAACTTAGAGCAATCTCGTCAGAGACCTGATTATGATGCTGGAGAGTTTTAAACAGACACTGCTGAGGAAATGATATCAGTTTTAAAGGTCCAGTATGAAATATTTCGTTTCAACCAACTGCTATTGGCTGACATATAACAAGTATAATAAGTATGTTTTCATTAGTGTATAATCACCTGAATTGTTGAAGAATTGTTGTGTTTTCGTAACCTTAGAGTGAATTTATCTACAGAGGGAGCTGTTCTACGGAGGGCGTCAAGTTTAACCGCCATGTTTCTACAGTAGCCTAGAACGGATAAACCAAACACTGGCCTAACTAGGGCATTTTGCGTTTTTTGGGCGATATTTCCCCCACTAATAGAACCTTTGCTCAGCTGATTTTCCGGTCCACTCTGAGACTGAGGGGAAAAGACACAAAGTTGAAGTCAAAAACCTAAAAGATTTGAGGCTTGAGAGAAAACATTTGGGGCTGGAGCCCTAGAAGCCACACCCACAGCTCTACACAATGCTTGGTGCCCCTTCTAACTTTTGTAGCAAGCAAACAGCAGGAACTTCATATGCTAAGATTATTTATAAACGGAAAACCCATCTATAGCTTCCTAAAGTAAAATAGTATGTTTAAAGAAATCATTACCATATGACAATGGCAACGATTCTCAGGACGGCCTCATTCAGGCTCTGGCAGAAGTTTACCAAGGCGCTGCCATTTGGCCCCATCCTTCCCAGCATAATTCCTGTGAAAACATAGAGCACAATCATAAAAATAATAAAAGTGTGAAAGCATTTTCAAGGATAAGTTCAAACGATAAACCATAATGGTCTTTACCCATAGTGGCGGAAAAAATAACAATTCCAAGAACATTCATTCCATCGCTTGTTCCTTCCTTCGTGCGTATCAGTACATCAGGAGGTGGAGTCAGATCAAGGGCAAAGTTCTGGATGTCAGTTCCATTATCATCCTGGATACCGTAGATGAGCGCTCGCCGCGTGGTGGACTCTGATTGGGCCTGACTCACCGTCGGTTTGGGCTTCACAATGTACTGGCTACTTGTTCGATACTGTTGCCAGGGGATGGGAACAGAAGCAGAAAAAGGGCTGCATTAACAGTCCGGACTTGTAACGAAAAGCTGAGCCTATGTGGTTGAAAGTACTCTGTAACCTCATAGGTATTACCTGCTGAAATGTGGCCTGGACCAGGTTGGATGGGAACATGTTGCTGAAAGGCAAAGATGTACACTTAATAATAATAACATTTTTCTAACAAAAGTCAGCTGAAGGTCAGTCCAATAACTTATTTGCATAACAAACTTGAAACATACTCATTCCCCTTTTCCCCTTATTTTCCCGCTTCATACAGGGCTGTGAATGGGGATCACCATCCTGACTAAGAGGCAATCTGTGACTGCTGTTTTGAGAATAAACTGCCACCCTTTTTGTAACAAAATAAATCAATAAATTAAAACCCATTAATAGAAAAATGTGAGTGGTGTAGGCAGTTTTTTTCTTTAAGCATATTCAATTATCAAGCATTAATTACCTACGTTTGATTGACTTTGCCAACTTCAATACACTAAAGGTGAGGAGATATACCTCACTATAGTGAGTGGCCCAGCCCTTCGTATATCTTTCCGTATGTGGCCCTCAGTGAAAAAAGTTTGGACACCCCTGAATTAGATACTATATGCTTTGGGGGTAAAAAGACCCATCAGTTTCATAAGTGTTTGTATCAGTATACTGGGTTTTGTCTCCTGTCAACAGGCATGGGAAGTAACAGATTACATGTACTGTAATCCATTACAGTTACAGAAGTAACAATTTTCTTTTCTAAGGTCACATTGTTCTGTTGCCTGGGTTGAGGTAATCCAACCTACGTTACTTTAATATTGTGATACTTGGATTAGGTTACTAACAAAATTTTTAAACAAGTACTTTAGAAATTGTATTGGATTACATTTTTAACCCCAACCCTGCCTACAGGTATTACATCCTTCTTTACGACAAAGCTGAACAGATGTTTTAGAGGTTCTTGCGTTGGTGTAAATAAAATAGCAGTGAGTCATAGTCAGCAGGTTCCATGTGTAACTTCCCAATGCTCACAGAATACAGAGCAGCAGAGGTGGTGTCAGGAGACCTAATTATTCACATTTATGTGAAAAAACATAATGAAAACAAACAAGAAAAACAAAATGAGATTATTCTAGTGTGGCTCCAGGGTTAAAAAATCTCCTGTTCTGTAATATGATACAATCCAGTGACATTTAGGCTCCTGCCTAAACAAACCGAATCATGCTGAAATAAACTGTATGCTTGCTGCTCTGTTTGACTGCAGAACTGAAGTTGTGCAATAACTTAGAAGTGCCCACTGGACAGGCTTTACCTCCTGGTTATTTAGAAGAATACTTTCTTCTGAGAATGTTGTTCTGGTCTGACATTTGGTTCTGGTCTGATGAGTTTTGCTAAACTGTTCTGTACATGTGACATCTATTAACCCTCTGTTTCGTTTTGTCTCCAAGCTGTGTGAGTTTCTCTTGCTCTGTCTTTCTAGTTCTCTCTCTCTCTTTTCTTTCTTTGTGTGGCTTGTCCTCCTCCACATCTCCATGGCAGAGAGGAGGTTGTATCCAACGTGATAAAATGGGATTGTGTTAAAAGCTGCAAAAAAGGAATCTCCGGAAAGTAAAATAGCCTTGTTTCTAGGAAATTACTCTTATTTTTGGTCTAACAATATTGATCTTGTCAAGCATGTTTTGCATTAGAAAAGTAATCTGGTTTTAAGAAAATATATCTAATGTTGTCTTGATAAGATATTACAGCTAATATTGAGTTTGCATAATATCCCAGCAGAGAAACAAGATTATTTCCTTTATTTTAAGAGTTAAGACCACGTGCACAACGCCAGTTTAAGAGGCTGCCCAGTGTAAATTAAGCAGCTGTTAAGTTTTCATTTTTAAATTAAAAATAAAAAAAATAAGAACAAAAAATAGGTACAAATTCTTAAATTCAACTCAATAAGGTGAGCAAAATACAAAATAGTTTTAAGGCCCATTACAGTCTTTCAGTGGCTAGATTTTAGTCAGCCAGAGTTGGCTTACCTCATTGGCAGTTTTTTGTGCTCAATACAAGAAAATTGGATTATATTGAAGAATATTTGGCTGTTTCTGCACTGTATATATACATATATATTGTTTGGGGCTTTTATTAATTAATAGAAACAGCTGAAGATGAAAAGAAAGAAAAGGAAAGAAGAAAAGGAGAGAGAGAGAGAGCGTGAGGATAACATGCAGCAAAGGGCCACAGGCTGGAATCAAACCTAGGCCCTTCATTGTCATGGTAACAATAGTCAGGTGATTATGTGAAATGGTCGCAGGTTGGTTAGGTTGAGGAAAACTTAATTAAAACATCACATTAAAATAAGTACTTACCTCACTTAAGTTAAATACGTTACATAATAAAGCTAAAAAAAACATTGACTTCTGGTTTCGCATGAACATGACGAGTGCTCTACTGGGTGAAAGGATGTCTGACCCACTAACCCTGCACAAACTCCTCCATCTGCAGACTCAGTCGCTCTTTATGCTACATTATCTGACATTCTTCTCTCTATGACATTCGAGCCTATAATGACACAATATAAGTCAGTAGAAATGGTGTAAAATGACACATGAAAAGAGGGCTCAGGTCTCAGTTGGCGACACCTGAAGTTGCTCAATGTCCTCCTGGATCCACATTGTTCACATATTTTTTATAATCAACATGAAATTCTGTTACAGTAATTTATTTGTGATTTTGTTGGTCTGCTCTGTATCTGTGACAGCTATTACATGTCTGTCCGTACTGAGAGAGGGTTTCTTCTCTGTGCCTCCTCCTGAAGTCTCTTCCAGTTTTTCCCTGTTAAAAGGTTTTTTGGAGTCTTTCCTTACCAGAATCAAGGGTCTAAGGACAGAGGGTGTAACTGTAGATTGTAAAGCCCTTTTAGGCAAATTGTGATTGGTGATTTTGGGCTATATGAATATAATTTGACTTGAATGGACTTTATTTAACTGCTCTAACCTTATCCAAATACCTTTATCCTGCTTACTTATGGAGTGAAAAGTCATTTCATAGACCATCCACTGCACTTCTCCCACCAACAGCATGCTGTTTGGAGAGAGGGAAATGTATAAAATATGATACGGTCTGACGGTAATGGCACAAACATACCTTTTCATCTCTACTCCTGACTTTATTAAAATTAGCACCAACTGTACAGCTATGCAATATATGCAAAATAAACCTAAATCTAATTGCACACAAAGGTGTGATAACTCGAAAATGAAATGTGGATCATCTACAAAAAGTCCTCTTACAGACTCTAAACTGTCTGCAGGAGGACTATCTAAATAAAATCCCTGTTGAAGACTTGTATCCTTGCTGAAGAATCTGTATAAAACCATGACTAACTATGAAAACATCAGGACACCAAAACAGCTCAACCTCTAATGCAAGACAGACATTCTTTTCAAATCTTTAAACCAAAGGCAAATTTTATGTGCACTCAATGACTCAGTGTATTAAGTGCTCAGAAAACAGTGAAGGTCTTTTAAAACTGTAATTGTAATATGATCTAGCTCATCAGATCAGGTGAAATCCAATGAGTTGACTCTCTGTGGTGTCATGCCCCATGTTTTAAACACTGTGACACTGTGATGTTGAAAGCCTGCCATCATGGCAATTTAAATGATATTTGTGTTTTGCTTCATGTGGTGCCTTCCAGGCTCACAGTACAGCCAGATCGACCTAAGATCAAAGTTAAACGTTCTGTAGACTCAGTGCCACCCCTGCACATAGCACAAGAGATGTAAAATTATTCCAAATCCTAAATTAGACCTTGTTTAATTTTCCTGCCTTCATGACAGAAAGATTTCACACCTGGTGACATTTAAATGTCAAGTCAGGAGAGGCACAGAGATCCATGTCAAAACAATTTGAAACCACCCCAAACCTTTGACACACATAAAACCCCAAATATTCATGACTATTCATTCATTATTATTACCGGTATTATTATTATTAGTCATGTTATGGTAAATGGTAAATGGACCTGTACTTGTATAGAGCCTTTGTAGTGTTCCGACCACTCAAAGTACTTTTACACTACATGCCAGATTCGCCCTATCACACACATTCACACACTGATGACACAGCATCAGGAGCAATTAGGGGTTCAGTATCTTGTTCAAGGACTTTGTAATGCAGCAGGACTGAACCAACAACCTTCCGATTAGTGGACAACCCACTCTACCACAGCCGATGTCATCATCATCATCATCATCATCATCATCATCATCATCAGTCATTTCTACTAGTATTGGTGTTGCTGTATATCTTTGTCTTTGTCTTTCACTCTTTACCCCCCACCCCCTCTACCCACTTCTCTCTCTCTCTCTCTTACCCTAACTGGTTGAGGCAGATGGCCACCCACCTAGAGTCGGTTTCTGCTCGAGGTTTCTGCCTCTTAAAAGTAAGTTTTTCCTTGGCGCTGTTGCCAAGCGCTTGCTCACGGTGGGAACTGTCTCTGTAAATAATTTAATAAGTACAGTCTAGACTTGCTCTATTTGAAAAGTGTCCTGAGATAACTTTTGTTAAAAATAAATAAATAAATTGGTGATATACAAATAAAACTGAAATGGAACTCAATTGAAATTTAGCTTCTAGTTAGTTCTAACAGTTATGTAGGAATACTGAAGGCATACAGTAAATAAATGTGTAATAATGATGTAGTTATATTATGAATCCAGAAATTATGAGAACATTGGTCCTGTGCACTGAATGACATAATTTGTCAAAAAAATACAATTGGGGGGGGGGTTATTGCCTTTTTCATATGATAAGATTTGAACCCTGGGCCGCTGCAGTGGGACTCAGCCTCGGTACATGGGACGCCAGCTCTACCAACTGAGCTAACTGGGCACCCACCATTTGTCAATTTAATAGGAAAGTTGTATGAAACAGAGAACAGCTACTATTAGTCCTATTCAAATTCAACTGTTCTTCCTTATGACTCAATTGTGACTCAACAGAATAAAATAGAATTAGAGCTGCACTAATCAGTATCTTCATACATGAAACAGAAATCACAGAGCTATTTGCTGGGAGCTGTATTCCGATGAATACTGATTAATGGAAGTCCTTTAATTAATGGAAGATAATTTCTAATATCCTTAGAGTGTCTTGTAGAATATGAATGAATGAAATAATTTAAGTCCATCAAGACGCAACATTTAATTCAGAACGCTGCAGCACGAGTACTGACAGGAACTAGGAGAAGAGATCACATCTCTCCTGTACTAGCTTCTCTGCAATGGCTTCCTGTAAAATTTAGAATAGAATTTAAAATCCTCCTCCTCACCTATAAAGCTCTTCATGGTCAGGCCCCTTCATATCTCTATTATCATGAGAGTAGATTGGAGAAGATAAAATTAAGAAGATAAAATATTTGGAGAACAAAACGTTCAGAGAGCTCAAAACCAATTCATTGTGCACTGATACGCAATTTTCAAAACCACTGACCTCTGCAGCTGCTGCTCCAAGCCTGGTTATGCCACGCAGAAATCTTAACCCTATAATGCCTGAACCATGAAATAATCACCAGAAATTCAATTTTTTTTTATGTTTATCAAACCAAATTATAAAGAAATAAATTAAATATCAATTTGCTACATCTGGTACTTTTGTGCAATGTATTGCTCACAGTTTGTATAGCTTAAACAAAAACAAACAAAAACATATAAAACACGACACTTTTAACCCATTCAACTTTGATTTTCTTTTAAAATTTTCCATATTGCACAATAACATCATACATATTCTGTTTCTGCTGAAATTAAGCTGTCACGCAGCAGTGACAAACCCACCAGTGGAACCCGGCATGGGGAAGAGGAACTTTTCACTGAGTTTAGTTCATTTTTTGGTTCACAACCTCTTTATTTTGCTTTGTGGTAGGTTATTGTCTTTGTTCAGGCAAAGATGGACCTTGCATTACATGTTTTTCTTACCTTAACTGTTTCAAAATTGGCAAAAAATATCCTTGAAAAACCATTTGTGAGTCACCGATTGAAGGCAGCCATTTTGGATGTCTGAATTGAAGGCCCTCTGGTGCATGTTTGTGTCTGATTGTATACATCAAGTTTTTCAGGAAAAAATATCACACTTATGCTGTAGAGGGCTCAAAAACACATGTATCAAATATGATGACTTGACATTATAGTGATATAATTGGTTTAATTTATTAGACTGATAGGGAGGCCATCTTTACACCTGTTAAAAACAGATATGAGAAATTCATCATCAGCAGATTTGTCAGAATGATCAAGCCCAATCGTGCAATGCCCATAAAGGGCACTCACATGATGTTTAGTTTACTAGTCATGAGGAGTAATGCTCAGTCCGTGAGTACAGTTATTGTCTTCTGTGACAAACTGACTGGAGTTAGAGAAAATTTGACCAGTCATTGTAGTTTCCCATGCCAAACATCACCTATAAACTATACATCACCATATTACTAGCATTTTTATTTTCACTGGAACAAATTGATTTAGATTTCTAATGAATTAAAATTGCAACTATTGCACCGATTTTTATGCTTCGAACACATCAACTTCAGCACAAAATATTCACCTGCTGCCTAATATACAGGTGCCATGATAACCAGATAATCAGTGTTGTTCACTTCACCTGTCACTGCTCAGAATGTTATGGCTGATCAGTGTACATCTGAGTTATTTTTCAAATTTTAAAGACTTTTGCCTCATAATATTACAATTTATTTTATAACTTGCTTCTTAAAAAATAAATCTCGTCCTCTTTTGGTCCCCTCCTGTATGTCCTTCTCTTCAGAATTTAGCTCCATACATCACCCTTACGCTGACAACACAAATATCCTGCAGCACAAAATAGTTTCTGCAGCTTTCAGTGGGAGTTATTTCTGAGGACGGTGGCTCACTGCAGCCCCTCCAAGCCCAGGTTGTTCACTTCAATCATCCTCTCCCTGATGTGAATGAATTACAGACCACCGAACAGAGTTCACTGATTAATGGATTACTGCTGCCACATGTGATGAGATTTCCTAAAGGCAAGACAATAAAACAGTATGTGCTCCACTTGCGCCGTTTCAGTCAAATTGACAGTGTTAGTAATTGCAATCATCTGATGTCTCACACATATGTTAAAATCAGGAAATCATTGTTTATGGTGTGTACACCATGTACAGTCAGATGGATGCTATGCTAGTCTTACCGGATGAGGTCCAGCAGAGCATCAGCAGAACTCATGATAGGCTTGCCGCTGTCCTCAGAGTCCTCTTTCTGTGCTGCACCGCCTGGGTGGATGATAGAGACCATGATAATCCCCACTATCACAGCTACAAAGGTGGTCCACAGGTAATAAGACACTGTGATCAGACCGAGCCGACTGGAACACTTGGCGTCGAGGGCTGCCAGTCCTGACATCAAACTGAAAGAGGAAAGGACACTGGAGTTAGACTGATATTGGTGCTTTGACAATTTAGGAATGGTTTCATTAGTTCCATAATGCATGTCGAACCATGTTACAACAAATGGGTCAGTGCAATCCATAATGTCAACTGTTCAGCAGCTCTGTAACAACATGAATTCTGGGTGAAGCCGATGCATTTAGGGTTTTATGAGGCTAAGGCCTTGGACAAGCTATACAGGAGTATAGGAGTGTAATCCTGAAACTTAAAACTTGACAAAACAATATCCTTACAAGGTCCATTTTGTAGCTCTTCTGGAGATGTACAAAGACCTCAGACCTTGTGGTTGAGATTGTTTGAAGAAGAAGAAGAAAAATATATACTTTACTGATCCCCTAGGGGAAATTGTTCTTTTCACTCTTTTTTTTTATATACACACACACACACACAGGCTGAAATGCACACTTCATAAACTTGTGGACTTGCAAAGGGGAGAGAGATGTTAGAGTGATGGGGCTGCAATGTTACCGGTGCCCCATGAGCAGGTTTTGGGGTTAGATTGCCTTGCTCAAGGGCACCTTGGCAGTGCACAGGAGGTGAAACTGGCACCTCTCCAGCTGCCAGTCCACACTCCATATTTTGTGGTCCATGGGACTTAAACCGACAACCCTCGGGTTCCCAAGCCAAGTCTCTAAACACTGAGCTACTGCCGCCCCAAACTTTTGTTTCACATTACCATGACAACTGAGCTCTGGGAAGTTCATCTGCTGAGAAAGATCATGTGATATGATCGAAAGCTCTAGAAAAAAACACTACTGTGGCAAGATTGTTTGTCAACTGCTGTGCCAGGTCAGAAGTGAAACCTCAGTTGGACAATCATGGTTAATACAACGCAACAAGTCGTCTAAATTAAGCAACAAAATACGTTGTTTGTCCATTAGAACGACACGAGAATCACTTTCTGATCTGACCAATCAATAGGACGTGTCAGTGCATTCCAAAAATTTTACAAATCCCACGTGAAAATAAATCAGTTGACCCTTCCTATGTCCCGCCCCTTTTCTCTCTGTGCTCCAATAACAGTTGAGGGAGATTGGTAGCCAAAATTGTACTTAGATATGCTATGTCCAAGGCTTGTCTATCTGAAAAAGACAACTAATCAAAAAGTCCCATCTTTAGTTAGCTAATGATAGCAATTCATTAGCTAACGGGATAACTAATAATTGATGTTAATTAACTAGCTATTTAACTACCGTTTTGTTAACACTAGTTAGCTAACTTCAAATGTAAAAATAGGATCTTTTCAACATAGATGAGGCTAGCACATATCTAACTACAGGAAAGGAGAAAATTGACTCAGGTTCTGCCCAAGGTTTGCTCAACAAGTCTATGTATGTGTATATGTTTAGATGTTGCTGTTAACTGTAATTTGTGTTGCTCCAAGACTTAGTTTATCACAATGAACAGAAAGAGAAAAGATCTTTGGTAAATGTTACATGAACTGCCCAAGAATGGTCTTAAAATTGCCCATATAAACATATGTAGTATCAGAAATAAATTAACTGAAGTAGCAGACGCAGTTAGAGTCTACATTTGAGGATCACTGAGGATACATGGATATATGATATATTTAGAAAAGACAGGAATGCAGGTGGAGGAGGGGTTTCTTTCTATGTTCAGAGTCATATACCTGTTACAGTAAGGCAGGATTTAATGTCTTCAGATATTGAAGTACTCTGGCTGCAAGTTTGTTTGAAACACCTAAAGCTGATATTAATAGGTTGTTGTTACAGTCCCCCAAGCGCTAACATGTTGGATCATCTCTAGCACAAGTCTTGAAATATGATTTGGGACACTTAAACATAGACTGGAATTATTTTTGTTGTTCAATGAAAATGAAATTAATGTGTGCATCTGCAGCTTGTGGATTATTACTGGTCATTAATAGACCGACAAGAATATGTTTAAAGAGTGATGGCATGCAAGTAGCTACTTGTATTGATCATCTTTTTATAAAACACTGTTTGTCTAAAGAGTGTGTCAGTTTTAATTATTTTATTTACAGTATATATGCATTAATATGTGTTGTGTCAGTCTATTGTGATGAATAATGTGAGTGTGTATATTTGTATAGTATTGTCACTATGTAAACTTTGTACCCTAGGAAGAATAGCGACTTTTATGCAGAAGCTAATGGGGATCTTAATAAACAAACAAACAAACAAACTGTTATTAGAGCACACAGCAAAAAGGGGTGGGACTTAGAGAGGATCAGTTTTATGATGTGACGACGCTATAATTTGGTTAGGTTTAGCCACATAAACGGCTTGGTTAGGTTTGGCGAAAGATCATGGTTTGGGTTTAAATAGCTACTTTCTAAGGACAAGGAACAATCATGGTCATGCTTGTCAAAAAATTTCAGTGTTGACTTGTTGAATAACAGTTGGAAACAGGAAATGAACAGCAGTCTCCCGTGCTGAAGTCCTAACCCTAAACTCCTCCATCTGTGAACTTTGTCACCTGACCTTCTCCTTTGTTTCCATAACCAGAGGGCTTTGTTACTTGACCATAAACACATTTGGGGTTGTTTAGCACATAGACATTCTCCATTAAGAGGAGATATTCAGTCATTGTCAGAAAGAAAAGAAAGGTTAAATAAGTTGATATTCTGCTATGTGGAGTCATCTGTTCAAAGCCAACTACTGTATGTAATTATTCTTAATTATTCAACTATTCAACACCACAGACAAAACTTCAGTCAGCCTACACTGATCATTTTCTTTAGGCACAAACTGTCGGCTTGGTGTTATTAAATAACAGTCTATATGTATATTTTCTATTCTATTATTTGGCTCATTCAGTGCAACTCTCCATCAGTTCCCACTCTTTGTCTGCTGTCACCTAGATTTCCATTAAATACTGAGGTCATTTCAACTTTCATACAAATACATAGCATACTTCATCAGACGGCTAATAGAGTGCTTAGTCCTTGGAGATCGGCATACAAAGTTGAACAAAGTTCAATATCAAGTAGGCATGTCTGCAGTTTTAACAAATATGTGCCAACACATTTCAAAGGACTGTCTCTTTCTTCAGCACATTGTTTTATGTGCCCACAGTAGGGCTATTTTCACATGGTCTTTAGAGGGAAAGAATGCAGACAGGTCTAAACTGCTGCTGCTGCTCCTTCTAATCTGTTCATTAATCCATATTCACGTTGCATGAAATGAGTTGGAGATGAAGTAGAATGTTTTGGGAAGCATTAAACTCAGTAACCAGTAACCACAAGAGGATCTACCAGTAACCACACAGACGGCATTTTAATCACAGCCAAGCTGGCATCACATCAGTGTTAGTGGATTGTTGGATTTCTCTTGTGAATGTAAGGATCAATGCTTAATCCCTCACTGCTTCCATTCAGGAGCAGAATGCAACACACACACACACACACACACACACACACACACACACACACACACACGCGCACACACACACACACACACACACACACACACACACACACACACACAGTGATAAATACAGTACATACTTCAAGCAGTAAAGCTGTGCTGATAAATGAGAGTTAGAGATCTAACACAACATACATAGTTAAAGCATTAAAGGGAGAGAACCATATCAGATAGCAGATCTGAGTTACATGACATTTATTTAGCTGACGCTTTAATCCAAAGTGACGTACAATAAGTGCATTCATCCATGATCAACCAAAAATCATTCAAGTACATCAACTTCATTAGAAAAGCCAAAGTGCTTCAAGTGCTACATTTAGTAACAATAAGAGATAGATAAAGTCTTTTTCTTTTTTTTATTGGCCAAATTGTCACCTGTGATGTAAAATGTGAGAGTTTCTGCTGCCCTGATGTTGATTGGGAGCTCGTTCCACTATTGTGGAGCCAGGACATCAAACAGCCTGGCTTTTGTTGAGCAGTAGCTGAGTTAGGGTTAGCAGAGTACCTCCTATGAATATTGATCATTGATGAGTTTTCCTGATATTTTTAGCAACTTTTTGTACAATTATCTGTCTGTATTATGTATGTATATATACTTTTTAATAATTATACATATTTAATTAGCTTCCTGACAATTGTAGTGTTTTTTTCTCCCTGATGCTTGGCCATTGTTCTATTAGCTCTTTGTTTGTTTTAACTGCATACTTTTCTAATGCAGGATGAGGTGTGCATAGGTTAGATCTTAAATAATCTAAACTTTAAAAATAACAATTTCATGAAGTTTTCTTCACAGAAATGAACCAAATGTTGAGATATAGGCCTCCTGTGAATATTTATATGTTTTCTTACACGCCTTAAAATCAATAAGATCTCGCGACCCTGTGTTAAGCTTTCACAAACCCCAGGTTGGAGACCAGTGTGTTAAGATTATCACTGTATCAGTAATAATAGATTCAGAAATTCTGTCCATGACTGAATGAATTAAAACAAACAATGGCATCCAAAGCGGTCTGACCTTTCATCTGTTTCACACTTCCAGCTTGCAGCACCAACATCATTTCTTTTTGTTTCACTATGTTTACAGTTGTATCCTGAAGCTCTGTGCTCCCATTGGTCAAAGTCAAGGAACGTGTCATGGAATTTGTCATACCAGGCAAAAACACAAACAAAAAAACATCCCAGATGTGGTGTAAGTTTTAGTATGAAATAATACACTGTACAAAACAATGAATTGTCGACACCCATTTTAGGTCCCAACGCCTGACGATATATGTAGTCTTATTAGAGGACAGTCGATATATCCAGCATATGAACATTCTGTCTTTATTACTTGTTATTTTTGTTTGTATTACTTTATAACCACTTCTACAAAACAAAAAGAAGAATGAATACTCTTGACTTTTAGACTTAGATGAGAGACATTTTACACTAGGTTCAACATGTCGATTATAGAGGTGAGAAGTAGCATGCAGAACATCAAGGCTTTCTTGTTTTAATGTGCAAATGAAATTTCCTCAATGCAGCAAATCTGATGAAGATTGTTTTGCATCAGAAGCGGGACAATGTCAAAAGGAATTTGCTCATACAAATCTGGGCAGCCTTTTAAGTATAAACTAAAGCAGCAGCACAAATTGAAAATCATTCGGTATTTTATCAAACACGTTATTGTGAACTACAGCTGAGCAGCACCCCTCCTCCTCAGGTGCAGTTACATAAACAAGGTCAGTGTCAGTTACTGCGACTTCAGTGTCCGTAAATACTGTTTAGTGTTTTAGACAATTTCAGGAAAATGTAGGGAATTAAAACAAATGGACTATTCATGTTCTCCACTGGGAACTCTCACTGACTTTAACACTGTAGTAGACAGTAATAATAGTTCAGATATTACTGTGCTAGTGCTAGCTCACAGGACAAGGTATTAGTATTAGTGTGCTAATTAAAATAAATGTGTCATAGTGTAAACCTCAAAAAATAATACTTTACTTAGTACCTTTGGCAAGACTCACTGCTGCAGCTTGGTTGATAGCAAGATAACTTTAAGAGCTTGTGAGTATTAATCATTTGTGTGTCAAGGTTTTTACTATTGATTTTTTTCCCAATAAACATAATACACAAGTACCACATACACAACTATCATTGTAAGTTAAGGAAAACACTTCTTTTGAACATGAATCATTTTGGGAGGATAATGAAGAATAAATTGCTTTACTTCCACAATATACCCGCACATCCTGTTAGTGCACCTGCACTCATGAGCAGGGGTGTTTCCAGAGGGGGGCTCTGGCCACTCCTGAAATCTTACTGGCCACTTGAAATCCAATCACATTATCCTTACCTCTTCCACTCCACACTGTCTTTCAGAAGCAGTGTTTTAAAGCTAGAGTCAAGATAATGGTATCATATGAAACTAGGAGGCCTAACAAATCCACTGGTAAAAAAACATGTCATGCTAGGATGTCGGGAAGGAGGAAAAAGTCAAGATATCTGAATAAAAATGGGTTCTATGGGCACCCATAATTCTCCTCTTTGCAGACATGTCCACTTTATGCTAATCCCAGGCAGCTTTGGGCAAAAACCATGCAGTTTTTGGCACGTGGTATAAAAGTGGTATAAACATTTTCACCAAGTATATTTGAATGTTTCCGCATACTGGGCTACATAAACTGTATTGGAATTACATGAATTGGGAATCACGCATAGGCCTACTTAAGACCACCCCTGCATAATTCAGTGCCCCTCTTGCCTTCTACACAGTTTAAGATAGAGTTATGGTAAAATATATTTAAACAAATTATGTTTTAGGTAGAATTTGTTGAAAAAATAAATACTTAATGTACTTAATTTTTGAAAAGGTGACAGGATTAAATTGAACTACTTGATGAGCTCTGCTTTAGATCTGCATTCTTTTACCCCATTATGTGCTTTATTCTCACCCATTAAATTGGCATTTTTGATACTTACAAATTGCAGTGTGGAAATTAACAATAAAAGGTTTTGTGTTTTTATTGCAATTCTTGCTTGTGTGACTTACAAGTTTCCCTATACATATTTCCACTCCTGCTGTGAACCTACAGTATATGAATATACACTATTCACTAATTCACAGAATACATCACTGAAAACTCTGAACGTGTTAAGTCACTGGGTGAAGCGGTGAGGGTGACAATGAAGTACAGGAGACAGACGTCAGTACCTGGACACGACGAGCGGGAGAATCAACATCTTCAACATCCTCATCAGCAGCTCTCCAGGAAACTGGAAGTACTTCACTTCCTGTCAGGAAGAGAGAAGAGAAGATGGTGATAGATAATCTAAATAAGACCAATAGACAGATAATGAAACAGAACTTGAGTTTATTACAAAAATAATGAAGAGGAATGAAGCATTGTCAAGATGTCTGGTGCACATCGACTCTAGTGAAGCATCGATGCAGACGCATGTGAGTCGTGCTGACTCTAGCCGCTCTAATTTGTTACCATGGGCGCCAAAATAAAAATCAAGACGTTCCACCATACACGTGTGTAATAGTCACTCTCCTCCCTGAAGGAAACATCTGGCTCTAGTTGCTGAATGCTGCGCTATATATACCAGCTAGTCGCTGACATGGTCAGCCATTTGGTGCTAGGCAGGTAACAATGGTGAAAACAGCTGTCCGTTGCTAGAAACTGGCTGATGAAAATGATGATGAAGATGTGATAATGTGATAATTGTCTCTGTGGGTTCGTCACTACGAGTGAGTTCCTACAGTTTTAAAATAAAAATACTTATTAGCTTCAGTGGTTATATGTAAATAGATAGTTTCCCATTATTACTTTATATTACAGCGTGACAGAATGTAAACACTGTTACTTCATACAATATAACACAATACAACCTGATAATGTACGATATGTCTATGTAGTGGAGCTATCAACAGGTGTAATCCGACTGTTTTGTAATATTTAATTAAGCATTTATTTATTTTGTTGCTGTTTTGTTTTGAATAATATGGCTTAAATTGTTTGATAACGACTTTAGTATTTAGTTAATTTAAGTACTTGTTAATGCTTTGGTTTTGAAGGCACTGGGCAGGTATAGGACTGGCAGGCAGTGGGAAGGGTTGATGGGGTTTTACCAGGGCAAGAGAGGCTGCAAGCCCCATTGTTATTTATCTGTTTGAAATGGTAAAATCGACTTATTTTCCCTGTGTAAGACTGGTTTGTGCACATTAAGTCATTTTCTTGTTTTACTCCTGTTCAAATGTACGTACTGCCCTATAGCTTTGTAGGCACCGCTGTCGGTTTTTCATACTGGATGTGAAGTGTGTGGTTCAGTTGCTTAAAAAACTTTTATAGAATAAAACAGTACCAGTACAGCTCCACCTGCAAAGTCTCTGAAATATTGTGCTTTAATAAAAGATTTACCCTGAATAATATGCAAATCCAAGAATGCAAAGCAAAAAATCAACTATTACTGTGTGACATATAGTGTTGATTAGTTGACTACTCAATAGGCTGTGTGCTGTGCCAGACCTGTATAGGTGCAAGCAAACTTGTAGCAAAGTTTTGGAAAGTGCTCATTTGTACTTGCCAGAGGAGGTAGAAGAAGGTTATAGATCGAAGACGGGTGAATCTTGGAGAGCAGCCATAAAATATTACAGGCAAAACTCCAGTGACATGTTTCCAAAGCCCAAGAGTTTGGCAGATGTCTGCAGATTTCACAGGGTTTTTGTGTATTTGTTTCAGTGGCTTAAACTGGCCTCCATCCAGCAGCAGCAGTGGACAGCTGTTCTCTATCAGCTGTTCAATCCCCTGCAGCCAGAGACCTCCCATCTCCACTCTGTCAAACAGAGAGTTTGACAAATCCTCTTTCTTCCCAAGGTGCCTCTGTGGTAGCAGTGTGGTTTAGGTTATCAGTGTTTGATCATCCTTTAGTTGTTCTTCACACTCATTTCAACAGTTCATGGGGAGAAGAAGATAAGGTTGATAGTTTACATACTGAGTTACTGAGTGTGTACAAATTGTGTGTTTACTATTCTAACAAGGTAATACTGTGTGTGGGTTAATTTGTGTCTGCCCTCTATTGATGAAGATTGAGATATGGGTGTTATCATACCTTCATTAACAATGACTAAAATTTCCAAATCTTTTCTTTACCAATTTGAGCCTTGTGATTCAGGTGTTATTTGGGAATTTTCAATTGTATGAATGGAAGTTAAAAAAGATCATCATGATTCTTCAGTTAATAAGTGAGGGACAGAAGCACAGAAAGACTTTCTGTTTAATCCTTCGGTGTCTTTATACACTCAGCTGCAGCTTTTTTTGACCATGAAACATTACTTAGTGACATAATGGGCACACATTACGCTCATTGTGCAGCATCTGTGCACCATGATTGAACAGGGACATGTGATTGAACACTGAAGTTCATCAGTGCACTAGTTGTCATAGCCCTCTTATCACATTTGTGATTGCATGACCTAGCTCTGACTACGCTCGATAATTGCAACTTCTGTGAGAAACGTGATGACCCTCAAATGATCAACTCTTGCCATACAATATCTGCTTTCTTGATTAATATTTTTATGGTTATGCTTTTGCACACCTAATCCACCCTGACCACCTAAACTGTCTGTAGTTGAATAGGGTTGGCCTACTCTACTGTATTTTAACATCAGTCACCATGGAGGGACTTGGAGAGCCTGATATTTTCTGATCTGGTACGCATTGTAAAAAGTTTGAGAAACACTGGATTAGACATAACTGTATATACACCGATCAGCCATAACATTGTGAGCACTGACTGGTGAAGTGAATAACACTGATTATCTAGTTATCATGGCTCCTGTCAGTGGGTGGGATATATTAGGCAGCAAGTGAACATTTTGTCCTCTTGATGTGTTAAAACTTTTTATTTTGATGCATAGATTTTTTACATTTACTAGCTTCACTAGCTTTCCATAAAATGAGAAGCAACCTGTTATGTAGAGCATGTTTTTAGAAAATGATTTGACCCGTAGACATTTTTTGTAGTATTAAGTTACATAATTCTGTTCAGTAAGACCTCTGAACCAATAATATGTCAAATAATATGTTTACCATTGAAGATTCTACCTAATATAAGGAGTGACTTTTTAATTGCCTCAAAATGTGCTCTTGCACACAGTTGAGCAGAACGTTAAAGGACATAGAGAACAATAAATGGAGCCACATTCAAGTTTTACAGATCTAAGAGGAAACTGATGTTTCAACAGGTCAGTGACCCAAAGCAAACAGCTAAAGTGACTCTGTACTGGCTTTAAAAATGGTCAGTGTCAGCATGTCCCCGCCAAAGTCCAAACTTAATTCCAGTGAAAATTGGTACGATCATATGAGGACAACACTTAACAGGCATTACCCACCCAAGTAAGCACATTTTAAGCAATATGTGCTTAGATAAGAGCCTTAAAGATATCAGATTTCTGTCATAAATTGTTACATTGCCTTTGCAGTGGGACAAAGTCTTGCTAGTTGCAAGTCAGTCTCAAGTCTTACCAAGTCAAGACCAAAAAGTTCTGAGGCAAGATCTAACTTTCCTTCTTCATTGTTTGTTGACCACAACTCCAGTCTTTATATCTAAATGACTAAATCAATCTGGGCTATCATCTTTTGTCGGACTGGAAGACTGCAACTGACACCAAGGCTATTATAATATGACATTATGGCTATCTTATTATCATAAAAGCTTGGATTAAGTAAGACTTTCCTGTCTAAACCTAGAGTAGGAAATCTTTGTCATTAATTACTACCGAGGTGGGGTGAGCAAGAGGCAACCGCCATGGCTGATAGGCCGAGACCCCAGTACGGTATCTATCTGCTGATTAATAAACATATACAAGCTGTGTATTGTATACAGCTGACAGAACTGAGAGTGAGGTTAGGGATGGTGGGTGCGTAATGACAGCTAAAGAGCTTTTCTGTTGGGCATTAAGCAGAAAGAGCTTAGTTTGCTGTATAAGAGCAGGATCAGCACTCGAATACAGCGAGCAGAGGTTTGTCTCTGCTCTGCTCATCTTGTACTCATGTGTATGTGTGTGTGTGTGTGTGTGTGTGTGTTGTTTGCGGTACATGGGGGAAGTGCAGCTGTTTTCAAAGGACCAGTCAACAGGGCAGCCGCAGTTTGACAGGTTTTTACCGGCCAACTGTGACACAAAATGGATCACCAGAATGTAACAAAACAGCATGATTTATACAAAATATACAATTTTTAATCCAAGCATTAATTATCCATCTTCGGAAATACAAACATTTTAAAAGGCAGTTCTTATTTATTTTGACTTTCTTTTTAGCTGTTACTGTGGCAGATGGGTGACAGGCCACTTGGTCTGACATAGACAGACAGACAGACAAGTCAGACACTGCAACTTGTAAAAGAACTAATGCACATTCTTCCTTGTGCAAATGAAAAATTATAATTATAAGCAACTCACCCTTGCTGAATTTATTACACTGATGCTACAGCCTTTTTTTAGTCTGGTTTGATAGTTAGCTTATGGTGCTAATGTTAGGTAATGTTCACAACATACTGAATCAGATCGATAACTTTACTGCCTCTGCTATACTATGTCTCCATCATCCCATAATTGTCACTCTGGTCACAGTGTCCACTGTTACATAAAAGTTGCAAGCTAATTTTTTTTCTCTTATTATATAAACCTGAAAATCTGACACATGCCCCTTAAAGTGAGCCTTCACCTTTTGCTGAAGAGCAGCCATTGTGGCCACATGTGCCAAGATCATGGTGGTGAATGTTCAGGCAGTGTAGGTCACAAGGTCAGACTCAGTATTGTTAATTACAAGGCAATATCTACTGGTCATACCAGACCAACTGCGGCAGTAGCAGTGAAAACCTCTGGGTGTACTGACTTGAGCAGTGGTGCCTTTTATTGCTTACAGATTCATTTTTTCATTTGTAAGAGGAAGAATGTGTTATTTTTAACTTTAAACATTAATATTAACTTTGGTTGTTTTCAGTGGTAAGACAGTGGTGGGCTAGCATAAGTCAAACTGCTAATACTGCTGCTGCTGTCTATGTAATCTGTGTTATAAATCTCTGACAGACTGCATACGTCCCATGCAGCAGCACAACGAAAGATAAATGTTTCAGGTTTTTAGTTTCATTTGACTTTTGAGTCAATACAACTCTCAAACACAGATACCATTGTGTTTCAGGTGGAGGGTTTAACAGGCTGTACTTTCCTCTGATCTCAATTGCCCTTGCCAACAGAAAACAGCAACTACAAACTACTGCCCTCC